GCCGAGCTGGCGCCGACGTGGCGCCTACGTGGTTGCCACGCGGGCTGGCGGGAGGTAGACGACGACGCCGGCCGGAACGGATGGCGGACGACAGCGACGAGCGGCGGAGCGAACCACGGCGATACAGGCGAAAGCGAGCGCACCGGGTGGTTGCTCAGGACGAGGGGAGACGAGCCAATGGCTCGGATTCGCCGGAGGATGCCCGACGGCGGCGAATTGCGGCGGCGGCAACCGGCGGCGGGAGAAGGGGGAAACGGCGACGAGGTCACGAGGGGTCGATTCCCGGCGGCGAGAGCATCTACGCGGCTACGGGAATCCGATGCTAGCGTTGGATTGGGCGGAGCTGCGCCGAGCGAGGCCGGCGACGAGCGGCGCTTCCGAGCTCGGGCGGCGACGGCGGCGAGCACATGGCGAGCGGCGGCAACGGTCGGGGCGGCGCCGGCTAGCTACGGGGAGGCTACTCGTGCTACTACCCGAGTCTAAGGGGAGGAAATGGAGCGAGGAGGGAGAACGGGGAGATGCACTACCGTGCGGGCGGGCGCAGTGACGAGAGGCCGACAGCGCGGGAGTAATCTCTCCGGCCTCGGGCCGGGGAAGAGGAAGGAGAGGGCGCGCTCGGAGTCCCCTTCCGCGTCCTTGCTCGTGCCGGCTCCTCCGACACGCGCAACGACGAACGGCAACAGCGAACAGAGCACGGGAGGCGGCGGCAATGGCGTGGAGGCAAATGGGAGAGGAAAGGAAAGGGGGAAGCTTGGGTTTATAGGATGGCAATGTCGGTTTGGGAACCGACTTAGGGCGGTCAAAGGAGAGGGCTAGCGCTCGGCGGTCGCGGCCAAAGCGGCGACAGGGAGGAGGGAGGAGGATGACGCCGGCGGGAGGAAAAAGGGGAAAAGAGGGAGAGAAAAGGGGCTTGTCCCCTTGCCTCTTCGGGAAAAGGAGGAGGGAGCGGGGGCGACGCGGCAGAGGGAGGAGGAGCTCTGCCTCCGTCCCTTGGCAGCTTGCGCGCGGAGTGGCGGGGGCCGGGCGATGACGACGGCGATGACGGCGGGGCGGTTTGGAGCGGAGCGGCGACACGGGCGACAGGCGCAGGCAGGTGCTGACGACGGCGGCGACCAGGCGGTCGGCCACCACGGCACGCGCGCGCGGTTGCAACGGGAGGCGCGGCGGGGCAGCGGGGCCGGGCGGCGCGGACGGCTCAGGCGCGGCAGGGCAGCGGCCACACGGGCGTGCGCACGCGAGGGAGGAGGGCTCGACTCGGCGCGGCTCACGCGCACGCGCGCGCGGCGCGCGGGCAGAGCGGAGAAGAGGGAGAGAGAGAGAGAGAGAGAGAGACCCGGGGAGGGAGGGGGAGATGGGCCGAGAGAGATTCGGCCCATCGAACCCGGGGAGGCAAATTAGACTTTTGCGGAGGAATTGATTTGGGAAGGATTTGGATTCGGGATTGAACTCGGCGATAGATCGGGGATTTGAGATCTGAGATGGCATGGACACTAGACAACAAGCAAAGAAACAAATTTCGCAAATAGAGTTTTTAAGAGATAGTTTTCCCGCTAGGCGCCACGACGGAACGGGCGCTACAATTGGTGACGGTGCGGGGTGGGCCGATCGAGCTGATGGCCACGTGGTGCAGAGTAGGGAGGAGGTCTCAGTATACAAGAGCCGGAGAAGGAAGAAGAAAGGGAGAAAGAAGGAGGAAGAGAAAGAGATAGACGGGAATGGATAAGGAAAGGATTGAGCGAGATAGAGGGGAATGGATAAGGGAAGGATTGAGCTCCCGAAGTTTGGTTTTAGCCATTGCATATTAGGGAGGCACCGGGCTTCGTTTTGTCATATAGTGTCCTCCCTTAAACTCGTCATTCCTCCGGTGTTTGAATTTGATATCATATGTCAAGCTTCTTCTTCCTCCTCGAGCTCCTTCTTCTTTTCTCCCTAGCTAGCAAGACCTCGCCAGTCTTCAGTTGGAAGTCTCATCATGTGGGAGTGAGAAAAAGGGAAGAGGAAGAGGACAACACTACATTCATTTGTCTGTGTTGCTTTCTCTCCTTCCTCCTAGTACCAACAGGCCGATATCTAATGGCACCAACGAGTATCAATGAGTATCGACCAGTGGAACCGATAGGGTATCAACTGGTACAGACGGTTACCAATTGATACTAATGAGATGCTGATGGTACCTATAGGGTATGAGATCTAGTACCAAAACGAGCATCAATTGGTACCCATGGGTATCTAGATCTAATACCTATTTGATATCATATCGTCCGGACGGAATCCCGTGGTATAGCGGTCCAAATTGTGATATGGGTGCATTGACATTAGCAATTTTTATTACAAAATGAATGTGGTTGGTTGTCGCTCTATAAAACCAACTTTTTTTTAGAAATGCACGAAAATATTCATTTGCTACTTTGATAGGGTAACAAACTAAAAGATTTTATAGATTATGCTTGAAACAAATATTATCCGTTGCTCATTAATCTTGGGTCTTAGTAACTCTTGAAACTCTCGAACCTTCGTCTATTAAGTGATTGCTATGGGCGTATGCGGTATGAACACTCAGAACATTAAAGATTTTACTTTCTTTCAAAGGCATCTACTGGAGACCCCAAGCTTCAAGAGCTATATCATCAAAGGTTTTGGTTTTTCTACTCCTCGGTTTTTGGAGATACGCTTCTTAAGGGTAAGTGGATACCTACACCCTACGCAAGCATACTCATGTTTGCTTCCACATAGTAGGAATATATGATACCGATCCGACCTTCAACAAATATGAAAACCACTATCTCACTGATGCGCATACATATGTGCCATGACTAACCCAAGGATCAAATCCAAGGGTTTATATGAGGCGCAATAGGTAATAGCATGGGATTGAACCTAGCCACATGGCCATACCTTAGTTCTATAATCTATAATGTTTAGAGCTTTCTTCGATGATTGACAATATGCAAATGAGTGGCAATTGAAAGAAGGCAAGAGCAAATGGTGAAAAGTGCTATGTGCCACATGATAGAAAAGTTAGGTCGTAAATTTTTCATGTGTTAAGTGCCCTATGTTGACTCGATCTCTTGGAAGAAGTGAAGATTATATGTCATGCATATGTGGCCAACCCCATGTGGATTCATGCATGTGTTTGTGTGTGTTTTGTGCATGTGTGGTGGAGATGAGCTCGGCAAATTTGAGGCCATGGAGAAATTACAAATATTGATCTCAACATAAGGGTGTTTTTCAGCTGGTGAAAGGCCATGAATGTTAGTCTCTTTAAAAGCATGGGACAATTTTTTTTTTAGAGAATGGTATTTTTTATCTGGTCTCTATACCCAACCGAATATATGAAGCCTTTTAAATTGAGAACTTAGCCCCTCAAACAACTCAATCTAAAATTTGCTCATATGGAGATTTGAACTCAGGACTTGGTGTACTACTTATGTCACTGTAACCACTAGGCTACATGCCCATTCGCAAAGCATGAGACAATAAGAACGTTATAACCTAATATAGTAAGTAAGCCGATTTGTGCCACCTAGTAAGGATAGAGCCCATAGAAATGTATACTCCACATAGCATGTTCCTTTGATTGTGCTAGTGTTAATTGTTGAATGACTTGGGCCTCTCTGATTGTCTTAAGTTAGCAAAACTTATTATGATATTTTTCTAGAACATGGCCGCCTCATACTAGCAAATTAGTTATTTTCTTGGATTTCTTGTATGAACATGCATTCCTCTCAAATTGAAATTTATTGTTTTATTGTATTTTTTGGAGCATTTTGGAGATGCATGTGCCATTTTCATTGGTAGGTCGAAACAGAGATATGCACAAACCAGACATGAAATATTTGAGGCATTCATGTTTTATATTTCTTCATCATTATGATTTGCTCCGAGATACATACAAAGTACCTATTGTTTATCACTGTTGGTTGGTTTCAATACACCCCTTGCATTGCAATTGTATGTGCCATGGAGTTGGTCTAAACATTCATAATTGAGTGTTATGTTCAAGAAATCTCGGGCCACATCTTTTCGCTTATACTTATACTTATCAATCAAAATTTAAATTTTCAACCTTAAATTTGAAGTTGATTTTGGGTTTTTTTCATCGAAGTTTATTTTTCAGCCTTTGCTTTTAGATCTCTAAAAACACGTATATAAAAGTTTTATTCACAAATTATTTTTCATTTGAAAATATACCGTTTGAGTCCGCTCGATTTGAACACAGTATGTTTGCCTCAGCGACATCAAACGATATATAGGGTTTGTTCGGATCAGCTAGACAGTGGCTGTACAGCCGCAGTGCTGCAGTTGTTTTAGTACAAATTTACTTGGTAGATCCTGTTGGTGTGGCTGCAGCGCAGCCACTGCTAGCTCTTCCGAACACAGCCATAATAAAAGATTTTGTTGGTTTTTGGTAAGTAAACAAGTTGACTGGCTGGGTGGATTTACAATCCAACTCCGGCTGAAATGATTCATATCCATATAGAAATTAAGACGAAAATTTAGGCCGAGTATAATGCACAACTAATTGTGTACTTTGCACAACGGTACCGTAGGAAAATTCTTTGAAGAGGTAAACTATTGAATTGAAGTATGAAAATTATTGTTTGGAGACGTGAATTATTGGACTGAAGTTGATTAGCGAACCGATTGCATATGCACTCCGCACACTGCATTTTCCACTAGCCACATCGCCACCACATCATCAAGTCCAAAGACTGGACAGGGCCACGAGCCCACGACGTGTTTCAGGCCGGTCCTTCTGGCACCTTCTCCCCTCTGCCTGACACGTGGGCCCCACACCATCACCCACCAAATTGAGGCCCCACAGGTCAGTCAAACCAAAACCCAATCTTGTTCTCCCATGCCCCTTTCCATGGCCCACCCCAGTACCCACAACCAATCGGAGACGGCCATTCCAAACGGTGGGGCCCACTTGTCAGAAAATAGAAAAAAATACAGGAAAATATCCTGAAAATTTTGGTGCACAAGAGCGGCGAGCCGTTTGCCTTCCCTCCAATCTCTTTTCTCTCGTCGTCGTCTCGTCTTCCCACCTCTCGGATTCCCGAGCTCCACACGACACGACCCACCTCGGCCACTCTCCGCCGTCGGTGGCCAGTGGCCTCCACCCCCTCCGTCCCCCGGGGACCACACCGGCGTAACATCAGCCACACCTCCGGCAGATCTTTCCCCCGCCGCTTAATTCACCTCGTGCGCGCGCGGCGCCGCTCGTTGCCTAGCTAGCTAGCTCGGCCGCAATCTAGTAGTAGTAGTAGGAGGAGGAGGAGCGGCGGCGGCGGCGGATCCTATGTCGGGGGCAATCGCTTCCTCGCCGGCGGCTACTCTCTTCCTCGCTGGCTCCTCCTCCTCTTCGCCGCGGCGCAGGCGGAGCAGGGTGAGCGGGGTTTGGTGGCACTTGTATGGTGGCACGGGGCTGCGGTTGCATTGGGAGCGGCGGGGTTTGGTTCGGGACGGAGCCGTCGTGTGCTCGGCGTCGGCCGCCGGTGGTGAGGATGGCGTCGCGAAGGCGAAGACGAAGTCAGCGGGGAGCTCGAAGGCGGTCGCTGTGCAGGGCAGCACGGCCAAGGTTGATACTTTTCCTCCATTTTTTTTAGAACCAAGCTTGAGACTGTTGGCCCACGTGTTTCAGACTTTCAGATCGTGTCATTTTGATATTTTAACTACTTTTCGTGATTTGATTATAGTATGCGTGCCAGAACGTGCAATTAGTTAGTGCAAATAGCGCAGTTACATGTAGAGCCATGTTGCTAGAACTACAGTTGCTTGATCTAGCGAGCTAGGAGCTAATTATTTACCATTTGTTATTCGGAAATGTTACCTCGCTGCACTTTTTGACATGAATTTCCCTATCCAACTTGTTTAGTATATTCCACTACCCCTGTGTGACATTTCATTTTTCAAGTTGATAATGCTTAAATGCTTATAACTTTGCTGATTCTGGTTGAGTGATGGTGTATATGCATTCAGGCTGATCATGTTGAGGATTCAGTTTCATCACCCAAATACGTGAAACCTGCCGTTGCGAAGCAAAATGGAGAGGTTGTGAGCAGAGCTACCAAATCTGATGCACCAGTGTCTAAACCCAAAGTTGACCCGTCAGTTCCTGCTTCCAAGGCTGAAGCTGATGGTAATGCACAAGCTGTGGAATCGAAGGCTGCACTGGACAAGAAGGAAGACGTCGGTGTTGCTGAACCGTTGGAAGCTAAGGCTGATGCTGGTGGAGATGCAGGTGCAGTAAGCTCTGCAGATGATAGTGAGAACAAGGAATCTGGTCCATTGGCAGGGCCAAATGTGATGAATGTCATTGTGGTGGCTTCTGAATGTTCTCCTTTCTGTAAAACAGGTATGCATATCTAAACTGGAAATTGGGCCTGACCCCATCATTTCCCCTTTTTGAGCATGACCAATCAGGCTTTTACTTTTAAGCTTAGGCAATGTTCCTTCTAATAACTGCTATCATGTGAAGGTGGTCTTGGAGATGTTGTGGGTGCTTTGCCTAAGGCTCTGGCAAGAAGAGGACATCGTGTTATGGTACGTACTCCTTCACATTTGTCTTTGTTTGATTGTCTCGGAAGAGATTAACAATCTGTAGTACTAGTATATGTGCAATCCACAACGTAAGAGACTAAGAGGTGGTATTTTGATTGTTATATCTGAAACTCTTAAGTCTCATTCTTTTGATTTGCGTGCATCATGGAAAACAATCCTCAAATTGTTACCCTGTTGTCTCTGTCAGCTATTAAATGTTGTTTCACATATTTAGGAGAGAAGTGTGGAAATCTATCTTGTATTCTTGTTAGATAACAATTTTTGAGCTGTATGATTTAGCATGCTTGAGATGGATGACAATTCTTAAGATAGCATCTTAAATTGAAATGTAGTAGGATATGCACCGATTGAGTTCAGTGGCTTAGTTTTAAGTGATCCAAATATAAGTGGCTATTTCAATTTTAGGTTGTGATACCAAGATACGGAGAATATGCAGAAGCCAAGGATCTAGGTGTCCGCAAACGTTACAGGGTAGCTGGACAGGTAAGAAAACATTGAAACAGTTATTGTGCAATGTGAAATGAAAAGTTTAAAGGTTCATGATAGAATCTTTTTTTTTCTGTGTGTGTGGTTTTCAGGATTCAGAAGTGAGTTATTTTCATGCTTTTATCGATGGTGTTGATTTTGTGTTTCTAGAGGCCCCTCCCTTTCGACACCGGCACAATGATATTTATGGAGGAGAAAGATTTGTAAGTCCCAATTTTTCTATAGCTTAATTGACTTACAAATAAGTTCCTTTTAAATCTTCTGTAAATATTTTTTGCACAATTTTATCATTTGATGGCAGGATGTTTTGAAGCGTATGATTTTGTTCTGCAAAGCTGCTGTTGAGGTAACTTCCCATTTTATTGCTACTAGTCTATAAATGTACTCCTTACAGTTCTGTTAGATTCGCAGCTCACTCCACCACGAGTGGGCCACCCAGGTCTCACCACCATCAATTTCCAGTGGGACTAAACACAATAATTTCTTACTACAGTCCACAATTAGAATTTCGTACACCAGCTGGTCAGTCGATGCATATCCAAGTTTCTTGCAGCAAGCTGTTTATGCACCTTTCACTACTTCGTAGCAAACAGTTAATACTAAAATTTTGATGTTTGACAATTAGAATTTAGTACACCATCTAGTCAGTCGATATATATCTGAGTGTCTTGCAGCAAGCTGTTTGTGTGCCATTGACTACTTTGTAGAAAACACAAGAACAATTAATGATAAGATTTTCATGTTTGTTTTAGTTTATGAGGTGAATGAGCCTGATGTTATGTTCTCGAATAAGTACAATTCATTCATCTGATGAAACATTTGCAGGTTCCTTGGTTTGCTCCATGTGGTGGTTCCATCTACGGTGATGGCAATTTAGTCTTCATTGCAAATGATTGGCATACTGCACTTTTACCCGTATATTTGAAGGCATATTACCGAGATAATGGCTTGATGCAGTATACTCGCTCTGTTCTTGTGATACACAACATTGCTCATCAGGTTTTTCACCTAGTCTTATTCTGCAATTTCATTCTTCGAATATTATCTGAACCACTAATGTACTTGTTTTCAAGTGATCTGCTCAATGGCATTTGTATTTTGCAAGTGTTTCTCCTTTTCTTTAATAAGGGCCATACAATTTTAAACCTGGTATTCAGATAAAGTACAAAATTCAGTTCAGAGTTGTGTACTGGAATACAGCAGAGTGCACCTGCTATTTTACCCTATATGTAGAAAATATAGGAAATTTGTGTTTATTTATGACACCAGTTTTGTTCTTACGAAGTTGAATTAGTTATTGATTTTGCCTCTTGAAAGATAATTGACTATACTACTGTCATAGTGACACCAATTTAGTTCTAATGAAAGTTAAATTGGCTTCTATTTATTTTATGATTGCGTTTCGCAATGTAATTCAATCTTGTTTTCCCGCTTGTCATCCGTGGGCATTTACCTTGATGCTAATCTCTTATAGATGTTTCATGATTTTCTTCTTTCAGGGTCGTGGCCCTGTAGATGACTTCGCCACGATGGACTTGCCCGAGCACTACATCGATCATTTCAGACTGTACGACCCCGTCGGCGGTGAGCACAGCAACGTGTTCGCCGCTGGCCTGAAGATGGCTGACCGCGCGGTCACCGTCAGCCATGGCTATCTGTGGGAGATCAAGACAATGGACGGTGGCTGGGGCCTCCACGAGATAATAAACCACAACGACTGGAAGCTGCAGGGCATCGTGAACGGCATCGACATGGCCGAATGGAACCCCGAGGTGGACGAGCACCTGCAGTCCGACGGCTACGCCAACTACACGTTCGAGACGCTGGACACCGGCAAGAAACAGTGCAAGGAGGCGCTGCAGCGGCAGCTGGGCCTGCAGGTCCGCGACGACGTGCCGCTGATCGGGTTCATCGGGCGGCTCGACCACCAGAAGGGCGTGGACATCATCGGCGACGCGATGCCGTGGATCGCCGGGCAGGACGTGCAGGTGGTGATGCTGGGCACGGGGCGGCCGGACCTGGAGGAGATGCTGCGGCGGTTCGAGTCGGAGCACAACGACAAGGTGCGCGGGTGGGTGGGGTTCTCGGTGCAGCTGGCGCACCGGATCACGGCGGGCGCCGACGTCCTCCTGATGCCGTCGCGGTTCGAGCCGTGCGGGCTGAACCAGCTGTACGCCATGGCGTACGGCACCGTGCCCGTGGTGCACGCCGTGGGCGGGCTCCGCGACACGGTGGCGCCGTTCGACCCGTTCGCCGACACGGGGCTCGGGTGGACGTTCGACCGCGCCGAGGCGAACCGGATGATCGACGCGCTCGGGCACTGCCTCAACACGTACCGGAACTACAAGGAGAGCTGGAGGGGGCTCCAGGCGCGCGGCATGGCGCAGGACCTCAGCTGGGACCACGCCGCCGAGCTCTACGAGGACGTCCTCGTCAAGGCCAAGTACCAGTGGTGAGCTGGTGGTATTTTTCGCGACGCCTCTGGATCCCGCCGTGGATGGGCGCGCTTTTTCTCTAGGGCGGCTCTGCGTCGGAGACGCTCAGACGCATCGCGCGCGTTCGCGCCCACACGATGACTGGCACGCTGCTGCTGAGACGGCGGCACGCGATGCCATCATGCCACCGGACGGTAGGAGCAACGGTGGAAGTGAACTGTACTACTGGTGCTACACTGCTACTACATGAGATCTGCTCTTATTGGTCACGTACTCACGTTCACGCTGAATTACCGAATGTGTTGTGTCTTGTGTGTGTGTGTTAAAGGCATTGTCCTGGTAAATGGTGGAGACGAGATGGCCGGGTCGCGGGAGTTATATTTGTATATGTTGCCAGCTTTCTGAGTTTTTCAAGCCAGTGCGGCTCTTCAGTGCAGGTTCCAAGCAAGTTCAGTGCCGGATGTTAACCATGTTCTGAATCTTGTCTTTTCTTTCATATAAGCAGTGAAGCACAGGGCTTCTACTGACACTACCATGTCATGCTGCTATTTGGAACTGTGTTAGGGGATAGGAACACCATTAAACAACCCGGGATTCGCGCGCTCGTGTTAATGTCAATGACTAAATGACTGTGTTCCAATAATTGCCATCCCAAGATACTGCACGTACAAGGAAGAAACACAGCCGGAGACATCTCAGTCAGACGGCCATTGCGGCTGCTAGCTCAGTAGTACCAACAGTAGTACTCTATCCGTTTTACGATATAAGACTTTTTAATATTATCTATATTCATATATAGATATCAATAAATCTAGATATATAACTAAATATATATATATGTTTATGGTAATGCTTAGGTTGTGAAAAGGAGTAAGTAGTTTTTTTTTTCGCCTGAGCCTGACCACAATTAAGCGGCCTACCAAACACGTTAACATCTCGCATATATTGCTCCTACTATCACACAGGCTGTCATACGCATGTAGTAGATCCTAGCCTGGGTACCTAGCTAGTACTGGCTCGCATGGCACCAACACAAGTCAGCCAACCGCGTGGGATGCGGATATGGCTAAAAACACAAATTGACCACAGGTCAACAAAGCATCCAAAGGCTCACATGGCAGCCATAAACCAAAGGCAATACTTACCCAGCTATAACCATATGCAATTATCTCCGATAAAACAATGTTACGCAGCAGCTAGCAGCTTTGCATAAATATCAGCTAAATTCAGCGAAGAGAACGTGCCAATCGTAAACAGCGCCGTCTTACCCTAGATCTGGAATATGCCCATGTCCATGTACATCCAAAGCCCGATTCAACCAGTAACAGTGCGCCCATTGCCGTCATGGCCATTCATGTCTTAACCACCACTGCACCACCACTTGCTCTGCTGCCTCCTCAATCAAGTGTCTGAAACTGCACAAGGGCCAGGAAGCAGCAGCAGCAATGCAAGGTAGTAGTACATCAATATTGCATTTTGTTCCTTCTGATCCTACCAGCACTAGTGTTCTTGACTTCTTGTCTCCGACTCCAAGAGGCACCTCACCCGTGCACGATCGCCGATTGCATGCAGGTGATCTTGCGTTGCGCGCCGGCGGTGATAGGCTCTTGGTCGCCGACACGGTGGCCGCCGTGGTGGAGAGCTTGGTGCAGGCATGGCGGCAGGTGAGGATGGAGCTGCTGGTGCCGCTGCTTAGAGGCGCGGTGGTGGCGTGCATGGTCATGTCGGTGATCGTGCTCGCGGAGAAGGTGTTCCTCGGGGTGGTCAGCGCGGTGGTGAAGTTGCTCCGCCGGCGGCCGGCGAGGCTGTACAGGTGCGATCCCGTCGTCGTGGAGGACGACGATGAGGCTGGCCGGGCGTCCTTCCCCATGGTTCTTGTCCAGATCCCCATGTACAACGAGAAGGAGGTAACATGGCTTTCAATCAGTTCTGAACTCTGCCATTTCCGGGAACACTGCAGTGCTCTGTCGTTTTTTTCAGAAGAGCAAAGTGATAATCCCCGTTTTTGTCGCCGCATTCAGCATCGTGTTCAGATTTACATGCATTAAACATTTAAAATTTTGAGCAGAAATGCATGATTGATTAGTTAGCATAGAACAGGCAATTCTTGGCTGTAGGATTCGTTCACGGGGGTAACCTTAGCTCCACCTGACAAAAACAGTGAACAATGCAGGTATACCAACTATCAATTGGGGCGGCATGCAGGCTCACATGGCCGGCAGATCGGTTAATAGTACAGGTCCTGGACGACTCCACCGACGCCATCGTCAAGGTGGGACCATCGAATCCTGAAAGTTGCCCAACCAAAACGAAGTAAATTTTGGAAGTAATCAACTGACAAAGTAATCTGTCTGTGTGTTCTTGGGTCAGGAGCTGGTGAGGAAGGAGTGCGAGAGGTGGGGGAAGAAGGGGATCAACGTCAAGTACGAGACGCGCAAGGACAGGGCCGGGTACAAGGCCGGCAACCTCAGGGAAGGGATGCGGCGTGGCTACGTGCAGGGGTGCGAGTTCGTGGCCATGCTCGACGCCGACTTCCAGCCGCCGCCGGACTTCCTCCTCAAGACGGTGCCGTTCCTCGTCCACAACCCACGCCTCGCGCTCGTGCAGACGCGATGGGAGTTCGGTGAGTCACCTCCGCTTTGTTTGTTTGTTTTCGGGGCAATTGGGCAGGAAAGAAAGTAGCCTACGCTGCTACAGCACTGACCATGGTACGGTGTCGTTATTCGTTTGCGCCACTCGTCGTAGTACTACGAAGATAATGCTGCTGCCGGTTGTCGTCTTCCATCCACAGTTGATTCGAGGAGCAGTTGAAGACTTACTGTACTGTGCTACTAATAAACCTCGTGCTCTACTGCTCTAGTACAGTTTCTGGGTAGTGATAGAAGTACTCCCTCTGCCTAAGAATATTGTAATTTCTAAGTGGATGGAACGTATCCTAGTCAGAGACTCAGGGCTCCCCAAATCGTTTTTTAGTGGTTACCAGTTACAACCACCCTATGATTTGGCGATTACCGCGATACCCATGCGGTTATCACATACCGTGGTTTCAAAAACTGACAAGGTTACCGCACGTGATAATCACGAAAAACCTTGACCATAATACTATACAAACTCTCTATCTAGATTCATAATATACGATATGTCCCATCCATTTAAAATTTGCTATATTTTAGGATGGAGATGTATGAATCTTAGCCGAGCTAAACAAGATGGGCCCAGTGCTAGTGTCCACATATGGCGGCCTAGTCGGTATTTTAGAGACAGACGGCCCATCCACCCAGGCGATCTCAACATCTTTGTCATGCCAACTTTTCCTCTCTTTTTTTTTGCAGTGGACCCCATGTGTCATCCTCTCATTATTTTTGCCGCACATTACCAATGTTTTAGCTAGGTGGTGTTGCAATGTTTGATAATCAACCAATGAACTAAACATGGCCGAAGCTCATATCAATTATTCTAAATTTTTGAAGTATGAGAGTGCTTGTCATATGCTGAGAGAAATTCTGTTTAAGCTGCCTTGCAGTGAATGCTAACGACTGCTTGCTGACGAGAATGCAAGAGATGTCAATGGACTACCATTTCAAGGTTGAGCAAGAGGCCGGCTCCTCGCTCTGCAACTTCTTTGGCTACAATGGTATGATCCTTGCTCGCCTCTGCCACTGCAATTGCTCCTTGCTTTCCTTCTCCTCTACAAGTTTTTCAGAGGTTTTGAGAATTTTATATGCTCATGAACGCATCCAGGAACTGCTGGAGTGTGGAGAAGGCAAGTGATTGATGAATCCGGTGGTTGGGAGGACCGAACTACGGCAGAAGATATGGATCTGGCACTGAGAGCAGGACTGCTGGGCTGGGAATTTGTCTATGTTGGTAGCATTAAGGTATTTTTACCTCACTTCAGCAGTTCAGTTCTACCATGATGACATGGCAATCCATGAACAAAAACATTAGCAGATTAATTGGATAACTTGAGAGTTTGCTTCCAATTCCAGGTTAAGAGTGAGCTGCCGAGTACTTTGAAAGCCTATCGGTCCCAACAACATCGCTGGTCATGTGGACCTGCACTCTTGTTCAAGAAAATGTTCTGGGAAATTCTGGCTGCCAAGGTTAGTATTATTTTCTCAAGTTGCACAGCACCCTGGAAACTGATGCATCGAAACTGTATTTGACTCGGAGAATTATTGCAGCATTCTTTCTTCTAGTGCTAGAATTACCTGAAAGCCCTTATATTCTTCCATTGTTTTCCAACGCAGAAAGTCTCGTTCTGGAAAAAGTTATACATGACATATGACTTCTTCATCGCACGGAGGATCATATCGACGTTCTTCACCTTTTTCTTTTTCAGCGTACTGCTTCCTATGAAAGTTTTCTTTCCAGAGGTGCAGATTCCTTTGTGGGAGCTGATCCTCATACCTACAGCTATCATTCTACTCCATTCAGTTGGGACTCCAAGGTTAGATCAGTGCTGTTTACCCTTTTTTGTGTGTGTGTCACCAGCTACTATGATCAAAAGGATGGTACATCTCATGAACTCCATGTGCTTCAGGTCAATCCATCTGATCATACTGTGGTTCTTATTTGAGAATGTTATGGCATTGCACCGGTTGAAAGCCACCCTGATCGGATTTTTTGAGGCTGGAAGGGCAAACGAATGGATTGTCACGCAAAAGTTGGGAAACATCCAGAAGCTCAAATCCATTGTCAGAGTTACCAAGAATTGCCGTTTCAAAGACAGGTAAATTCTTATATGAATATAAGAATCACTTTGAACTTGATCTGTGCCATGAGTTATGCGCTAATTTCTCCATCTGCCGGTGCTTCTTAGGTTCCACTGCCTTGAGCTATTCATTGGTGGATTTCTTCTTACGTCTGCATGCTATGACTACTTGTACAGAGATGATATTTTTTACATCTTTCTTCTGTCCCAATCGATCATATATTTTGCAATTGGATTTGAATTCATGGGCGTCAGTGTCTCCAGTTAGATCAAGGCAGGGCAATTGCAAGATCTGCTCCAGAAGCAGGATCCATGTTAAAGCAGTCAATGGGGAACTCTTGTGCCTTGCATGTGACAGGAAAGCTCAACGCTGCGGCAATTGAGGGCTTCAACAAATTGCGATAAGCATATGGGAGATAAGAACACATTGAGCAAGAAGAAAATCATCTAGTATTGTCAACGTATTTAATAGGCAAGTGCTATCTTTAGTGAAGAGTAGCTTCGCATCTTATGTAACTTAGCATGTTAATAGTGACAATTATCATTTCAGAGCTACAGATATTGTAGCACGACATTTAACACCTATGAACTTCAATGGAATACATTTACGATAACAAAACTGGAGGAAACTATACGCTCTAAACCCGATTTCAAGAAGGGGGAAATCTACTGCCAATGTACTAATACAGTGTGCTTGGAATCCTACAGTACTTCGCAATTCTGATTTGTTTGTGTTCATAAAAATGCGCTGAAAATATTTGCAGCAGACCAAGGCTGTGTTTAGATTGGCCCAAAGTTTGGAATTTGGTTGAAATTGAAGGCGATGTGACTGAAAAGTTGTGTGTATGAAAGGTTTAATGTGATGGAAAGTTGGAAGTTTGGAAAAAAAAACTTTGGAACTAAACACACTTCAAGAACTCACTAAAGTAGGGTCAAAAGACATTGAAATAACATCTAAATTGGTCTTTTCGATTGATGTGTTGCTGATAATCAGTTAGAGAAGGGTTCCAAGATGAATAAAAACGAAGAGAACTGGGCGAAACGGAAACTCACCTTGTGGGTTGCGGATTGCAACACGAGGGCCGCCGGGAGCCTCAGGCTGGGTGAACAAGACGCGTGGGGAGAGGAATCGAGTTGAGCACGCCGCAGAGACGATCGAGTCGCCGGTGATGGCCACCGCCGCCGCCGCCGCGGCCAAACTGTACTTGTAGGGTGTAGCCATCAAGAAGAGCCGAGACGGTGGAGCAGTTGGCTCTTGGGCCAAAACTCAGGCGTTCTGATGGCTTTGCATTGGGCTATTGGAGATTTGATGGGCCATATATATCGGATTGGAATAAGTTCAAGTTAGGTCCCTTAATTTGTCAACGAATTCGATTTTCGTCCTTCAACCGGAAAACCAGATACAACAGGTCCCTTAATTGTCAAAACCGGTGCAAAATAAGTCCCAAGGCGGTTTGGATGGTGGTTTTCGCTGACGTGGCGCATACGTGGCTAATTTGACTCGTTCTTCGTCTCACATGGCATTAACGTGATGCTTACGTGGCAATTTAGTTTTGAAAATGATAAAAACATCGGGCCCACATGTAAGTTACACAAAAAACAATAATTAAAAAAGGCGGGGCCAACGTGGCCCCCACCTGTCAATCTCACTCCCCTCTTCTTCCTCCTCACTCCCAATCTCCCCTCTGTCCGTCTCTCTCCTCTCTCCTCTCTCCTCTCTCTTCTCTCTCGGGCGCGACGACCGACGGGCGGCGGAGCAGAGCGGACCGCGGGAGGCGGCCGAAGAAACCCACGGCCGGGAGCGCGACCACGTCGACGCGCCCCGTCCGCGCGTCGCATGACACCCTGGGCCAGGCGCAGGCGCGGTCGGCATCCTCCGACCACGGCGCCAATAGGCCCCCCGGGTCGGACACCCCCGACTTGAAGACCACCAGCGCAAGTACGTCGTCGTTCACGGCGTCCGCTGCGGCGAGGATGGCGACGGCTGGACGACATCCGTTCGGCACGAGACCGGCGTCGGCTTCAGCCTGCATCACCTCGAGCAGCTTCGTAAAATGCTCTATGAGTAGAAGTAGCATTTAGCATCACTACATCACTATTAGATATGCTTGCTGCCTTTTCATGTGCTTGACCTTTGAGGTTTGAGCCACACGAACATGTTATATTCGATCCAGCCAACATCCAGTCGATCCCACTGGAGCGGAGACAGACTACGGCCTTGACCCGGCGAAGCTGCTCGAGGTGATGCAGGCTGACGCCGACGCTAGTCTTGTGCCCACCAACGTCTGCGCCATGGTGGACTCCTCCACCTCCCGCTGCGACGCGGCCGATGGGTCGGGCTCCCGGCGGAAGGGGTTGGCCTCGAGGGAGAAAACGAGGCAGTCGGCGCGGATGGGCGGACTCCGGCTGCGTCGGCGGGAGCAGCAACGACGTCGGCGGCGGCAGCGGGCGCTCAGAAGCCATGGGGGACTGGAGAGGGGAGAGAGAGTTGAGGAGAGGGAGATGGGGAGAGAGGAGGAAGAAAGGGGGGCTGAGAATGACTGGTGGGGCCCCACCATTTTTTATTAATTTATGTGTAAAACTGACATGTGGGTCCCACGAAGTTTTTTTTTTTTGGTCGAATTGCCACGTAAGCGCCACGTCAATGCCATATCAGATGAAGACCAAGTCAAATTAGCCACGTAGGCGATACGTCAGCCAAAACCGCCGTCAAAACCGCCGAGGGACCTCATCTGCACTGGTTTTGACAGTTGAGGGACCCATCATATTTTCTGGTTGAGGAACGAAAATCGGATTCGTTGACAAGTTAAGGGACCTTAAATGAACTTATTTCTATCGGATTAAAACCTGGATGCAAACAGGCCCGTCTCCTTATGGCCCAATAGGGACCCAACCTTCCGCTATCCTCGGTGAACCCGAGGCACAGAGCACGGTGCGATGCGAGTATCGTGTTCGGACTTCCGACGGAACCGACAAGCCACAAGGCAACGGCAACACGCGACCGTCGGATCAGTTGATACGGCCACGAAACGTCGCCGCAGCGCTCGAGATCGAGTCCGACGAGACGACGACGACTCCTCCCTCTCGGCTCCCGTGCCGGACGAGGACGCGCTGGCTCGATCCATGGAAAACGTGCGCTTCGGAATTTCCTCTGGTCTTTTGGCGTACTCTTCGTCGCCCTTTACTGATGCTCCGTACTCCCTTCCTCTTAAATAAAACCCATTCCTAACATCCCAATATAAAATTAGTATAGTGTGAGAATAACTAAAATACCCTTAATTATTAAAAAAAATAGTAAGGGTGATAGATAGATAAAAGATATTAAAGGGATAAAACTTTTCGTTTGAGATTAGGTAGAATGATAGAAGTTGGTTTTTTATGGGATAAAATTTAAACTCTAGAAATTAAGTTTTTTTTAAGATGGAGGGAGAATGCCGTAGCCCATCGCACTGTACTCCCTCTGTTGAGTATAGTACTGCTCTCTTCTTAACTACACATTCTTAAGAAAAAATATTGATCCAATTGGGCAGAATCAAGAGTGTCTATAGATCACACCTGTATAATTGCTCACTGACAGTATCAGGTTAACGTCGCGCGTACATTTTACCCTCCAAAAGAATTCAGATCAACACCACCACCCACGGAAAAACAAAGGTAAAAAGGTACAAGTAGTATTAGTAAAGGCACAAAGGCATACCCCAACTAACCACCATCTCACAGTCCACGGCGACGCAGTACACCCAGCAAGTGGGAGGCAGAGACATCGCAAAGATTTCAATGCACAGTAGCTGTAGCATCATGTGCACCACGCCATCCGTATCTCCTCCATGCGGCTGCAGGCTCGCATACTGGGTTCAGTGAGACGAGCCACCGACACTCGCACGTTGCTTGCCACCACCACCATCCCTTTCGTGTGAGCCGAGTAACCGGGACGTGTGGCCTTTGTGACCGCCATGTCTCCTCTCCGCTACTACTAGTAGTACGACCAAGCAAGGGGAAGGGAAAAAAAAGAGCCCATCAATGGCGCGCCTGACCGGCGTCTTCCTGCCTCTTTTGTGAATCGATTCAAGACGCCGCATGCAAAAGCAAAACAATCGCAGCATCTTTTTCCCATGCCTTGTATATGTTGTCGGTTATCTCCTCAGCGAAACCTCCTGCAGATGCCAAAAGATTTACCTGTCTGCAGGACAGTGTTATCTGTTGTGCCCGGTATGTGTCCAACATGCTGAGGGGGTGTTTTGGAACTAGGTAACTTTTAGTCTCTCTCACAAAAGCATAAGATAGTGTTTGGAAAGTAGTGACTAAGCTTTAATCTCTCTCACAAAAACATAAGTCCCTATAGAAGAGACTAAAATTTTTGTGAGAGGGACTAAACTCTAGTCCCTCCTTACCTACCCTAGAGATTTATGTTTTTAGTTTAGCCCTCTCTCCCAAACACCCCTAGTTTGTTCGCTGTTGCCTGAGGTTGGCTGATCGATGACCTTGCAGGATTAGCAAAAGTTTTGATCGGCCTGGTTTGTGCATGGCACGTTAAATTCAAATGCTCTACTAGTAGTACTCCTGTACTACTCAAAACAGAGTCTCTTATCTTTGTCGCTAACAGCCTCGTTAATCTTACACTTGAGTGCTACTGCTCGACAACATCAAAGAATCCAATGGGTAGCTCGCTGGCAATGACGGTCTCTGGTCAAAAATTGGGTCAGAGATTGGAATGACGGTTCTAGAAATCCGCATCGAGCGGAACCAGATTCCTTGTTTCCTGACCATTGCTCCGAGTGTTCCACTTTCTGGAGCCCAACTACTTGAGCTCTGCAACCTTGCAGGCACGAGTTTTACCGGTAAGTTGATGACTGGCTGGAGTGTTTGATTGCTTGACGGTCCGTGCAGGAATCTCTATGGCTGTGTTTGCAACCCCAGTTCCCAACCCTTCTCCCTCGTTTTTTCGGACGCACGCTTTTCAAACTACTAAACGGTGTGTTTTTTGTAAAAATTTTCTATACGAAAGTTGCTTAAAAAAATCAAATTGATCTATTTTTGAAAAAAAAATTAGCTAATATTTAATTAATCACGCGCTAATAGACCGTTCCGTATTCCGTGCGTGGGTGATAGGTTCTCAACACCCACCACCGAACACACCCATAGGGATCTGTATGCCTTCTGTATGTAGGAGTAGTTCTAGTATGTGTATCAAACAGTAGGTGCTCTCCGTATACATAGTAGTACTACGCTACTTTATACAGTTCATATCCTGATTTCCTGGAGACTGGACTGGATTAGTACACGGTTTGAGCCGGATACAACCAATGACTAAAATGGAGCAGCCTACATACGCGCGGATACAATTGTGTATCAAACAGTAGGTGCTCTCCATATAATACGTAGTAGTACTATGCTACTTTAGGGCATGTACAGTGGTTTTTATTAGCGGTCTCTCTTTATTACTCCCTCCATCTATTTTTTAATAGTTACATTTCATCTTAACACACAGACCAAGGATAAGTAATTCTACTTATCATTCATTTAAGCATGCTACTATTCATTCCTCGTAAACAAGCGATTCATTAATATTTACATTTCTCAAAGCCCATGTAGCCAATCATGTGTGGAAGAATGGAGAGTCACGTATTAAATTCGAGAAAATCATTAAGATGATAGGTTGTTGGATTGAAATATGCCTATCAAAAATAAAATTTTCAGATTTGGAAATATGATTATCAAAAGTAGATGGAGGGAGTATCATGCAAGCATATTTGGTGACGTGGAAGAGAGAGGAAGAAGGAAAGAGAAAGATGGTTGCTACGCATGACAACGGTGTAGAGTCGACTCTTAGCATTTATTAGGAAATTTTTTTATTGCATTGAGTCTAATAAAGGAAAGATGACTAGTAAGAAAATATTTTGGTACATTAATGATTAGAGACTGTAACTTAAATATTGTAACGTGATAGCCTCTAATTAACGTAGAGACTTTACCGTTCTCTACTTTTGTACTTGCCCTACAGTTCATATCCTGATTTCCTGGAGACTGGACTGGAGTAGTACACGGTTTGGAGTCGGATACAACCAAACCGTGGATACATACGCGCGGATACAATTGTTTTTGCCAATCCCAAAATCCAATTGTTTACAGATTGGTATTGACATTTCACATACACGCCGGCGACTGCACATGGCTTTAACGGCAATGTGTTGGTGATCGGACTCGTGAAGTCGTGAGTCGTCTCCCCGTTGCTGCCGTCGCTCCACACGAACAACTCCTACATTCGGTGAGCCCATGACACGCAGACTGACCGGCGATGCTGCCTATTGTCGCCGACTCGCCGTGAGCCGGTGAACACTGTACATAGCCTTGACGTTGCTCGCTGCCGACGGTGCGTTGGGTCACCGCACTTCTTTCTCTCGCTCGGTTGAAAACTTCCGCCAACGCCGGGTTGTTCATGTCCCCGGCCTGCGGCGCCTGTGCGCGTCGAGCAGCTTTGGACACCGACGCGTCTCTCGTAGAACTCTTGCTCGGCGGTCTAACCGAGCGAACACAGGAACGTAATCCGGTCATTCGTTTTCCCTTCACGCGCGCCACGCCGCTGTCTAGTCTGTGTGCAACGACCACGCAGCGCCGTACCGCGCACTACGATCGGCACAAGAGATTGATGCGCACAGCGAAAACGAGCAGTACGGTGCAATGGGCCTCGCACGAGCAGATGTACACTAGGCTCGACACACTCATTTGCACGGTTGTTGACGCAGCAAGCAAATCATGTACGGCGGTTTCTTGGATTTGTTTCAGATTGTTTCAGATTGTGATACGGTGGATTGAATTCAAATGCATTAATACTCCCGCATAAGAGAAGCACGAGTAAAAAGAAATTGTTCATAAGCAGCACACAGGGCATACCCCAGATGCCTAAACTGTTTGGCACCCCCAAAATGAGGTCCGGTACTGGGGTCCGGTACAGACAACAACCAGGCAAAACCATTACTAGCAGAAGGCCATTCCCATTAGGCCCAATTTTGCTATTTTGGCGGGTGATACAAGGCGGCCTCTGTCAATCAAGCCACAGCCTTACCACCACTTCCAATCCCTAGCCAAAAGATACCACAAAAGCTCAACTAATGGTACTTGTAACAAACTACCACTAGCAGTGACACCAGCACAAAGCCCATGTTGATACTAGGCCAAACTACCCACTAAATACTTTCCCAAGAACCAAGGCGAGACTGAGTACCAATCATAAAACAATGGCACTTCCCAGCACGGTCCAGTTGGGAGTACTACTGCAACTACCACGACGATGCTCGAGTAAAATTGAGCGGAATCAGTTGAACTGGGCCCCGCTGAAGGTCTGGCCGAAGGACCAGCCACGGGGGACGGCGTTGTTGGAGACGACGGAGCGGCCGTCGCCGGTGGTGACGCGGAAGGAGAGCGCCTGACCGTCGAGGAGCGCGGCGCTCTGCCAGTTCTGGCCCCAGTTGCGCGACAGGGCCTGCCACGCCGCCGAGCGCTCCGACTTCACGGCCACCGCGTGCACGTCGCCGGCGCCGCCCACGTTGGTCACCAGCACCAGGTTGAAGTAGGAGTGCCCGTTGATGGTGAACCGGATCCCGCCCTTCTTCTGGCAAGCCACCCTGCACTCGAGAGCACGCACGCCATGGTCAGTAAGTTCCGGTAGATCCAAGAAAGCGAAACGCGAAGGCAAGAAATTGCCGGCGTTGGCTACTCACCGGCGGTAGGAGACGGGGACAATGCCGGCCTTGAAGAGAGCGATGCGCTGGAAGACGGGCTGGGACATGTCGAAGTGCGCGCGCGGAGGGTTGCACCAGCCGCCGTCGTCGGACGGGAGCGCGTTGTTCGGCGGGCAGAAGTTGGTGGCCGTGACGACGACCGAGCCGGGCAGGCACGAGTGGCTCCCGCCGCCGCCGGCGTCGCAGCGCACCTCGAAGCACGCGCCGCAGCTGAGGCCGTTGTTGAACAGCGCCGTGCTCAGCGCCGCCGTGTTCGTCCCGTACCCCTGGCTGTAGAGGTTCCCGTACCCGCACGCCCCTCCTGCACGCGACCAAAAACGCACACGCAAAACAGTGAGCACAACACGCAGATGTAACAACATTTCAGCACAGTGCACAGCGAGAAAAAAACGTACCCATGGTGCCCGACGCGTCACCCCCGCCGTAGAACGTGGCGTGCGCCGACGACCACCCGCCGCCGCCGAGCGGCGCGTGCTGCTGCGGCCCCTGTCCCTGGCCGTGTCCGCCGACATGCGGCGCGCGCCATCGCCCGTGCCCGTGCCCCAGCCCGTGGTGCCCCAGCCAAAGCCCACGGGACAACGCCGGCGGGAGCAGCGCGGCCACGAGGACAACAGCGAGGACGTCTCGGCGGGACGACATTGTTGTGACGGGGATGGAGTCGTCGCACGCGACGGGGTGCGCTGCGACGAGAGCGGGCGGAGGCGTGGAGTGTGGAGTGCAGCGAGGTTGTTGGGGGCGGGGATAAATAGAGGGGTGCGTGGTGGGAACGGTGAAACGAAAGGAACGGGTTTGAAACGGCGCGGCGCAGTAGGGTGGGGTGGAGTGGAGTGCGGCGTAGGCCGCGGCGTACGCGGGTGGGGCTCACAGCGTGGGTGCAAAAGCTCGCAGCTGCTCCGGCACGTAGGGACACGAGATTTCGGGGGCGTTGGGAGGCGTGGCGGGAGTGTGAAAAAAAAGGGATGGCGTGGTGGGGTAATAAAGACGGGGAAGCTGCCGCCGCGGCGGTGCCTTTGGAAGTCGAAACCGAGCGCGGCGAGCGGGAGCACTGCTTTTGCTTTCTTTTTTTTCGCCGCCGTCCCGTACTACTACCAACCAAAATCGCTGCCCTCCGCCCCTCCCAGCTTCAAAACCTAACGCGGTGATACATTCCGCAAATGTTGTCACGGCAAAGCTTCCATCTTTACTCTAACCCTCAGGAGTACATACCCTAACCCTTACGTTTGGCCATACAAGTCTTCTTCACATACCTGCACTATTCTAACGGAGTTGTCAGCTCCAGGAGCTGAGCTACACATCCCTCCATATTTTAAGGCAAGGGTTTATAAATGGCATCTTTGACTGAACCACGGGACAACAGTCCACACAGCAGTCTGACGGGTTTTACTGCACAACATTATTCCCTCCGTTAAAAAAAAATACTCAACTTTCAAAAAAAATTTGAAACTTTTAACTTTTTCATCACATCAAAACTTTTCTACACACATAAAATTTCAACTTTTCCGTCACATCGTTCCAATTTTAACCAAACTTCTAATTTTCGCGTGAACTAAACACACCCTTACGAGGTTGAGTTTATTTTTTAGACGGAGAGAGTACTCATTCACCTTTATTTTCAAATACTCCCTCCATCCACAAAAGTTACACATATTTTATATTTAAGTTTTTCTAAATAAGTTGTTCCTATTTTAGTCTTTATGCATTGAAGACTTAAATTAAATGAAGAGATAAATTAAACATTTGATTAGAACCAAGGAGTCATCTAAATACTTATTGGTTGGATTTTGTATCATCCAAGACGATTTAATTTCTTCTTAATCTTTGTGATAAAACTAAGTAACTTTTGTGGATGGAGGAAGTATTACGTAAAAATATAATGTGACCATGAGTAAAAATTAAAATCAGTTCATTCTTTTTACAGCGTAAGACCCTATTTAGATGAGACTAAAATTTTCAAGTCTCTATCACATAAGATATTTGGACACTAATTATAAATATTAAACATAGACAATTAATAAAACACATCCATAATCTTATACTAATTCACGAGACGAATCTATTGAGCCTAATTAATCTATAATTAGCCTATATGATGTTACGGTAAATATTCTCTAATTATGGATTAATTAGGCTTAAAAATTTTGTCTCGCAAATTAGTTTTTATTTATATAATTAGTTTTATAACTAGTTTATATTTAATACTTTAAATTAGTATCTAAATGTATAGACTAAAATTAAGTATCTGAATCAAAACAACACCTAATAATATTCGCAGTAACTGTGTGGCAGGCTTATTTAATGCTTCCGGTAGAAAGTATCCATATTTAATCATTAATGTACTCCACTCTACTTCCACCTCTACCGGTTCACGAAGACATGAAGTCCAATTCATTCATGGGCCAATTGGCTAATGGGCCAAATGGGTGTGCTTGCTGCTCACCCAACACGAAAAACGGAGCAGATCATTAACACGTGATTAATTAAATATTAACTATTTTTTTTAAAAATAGATCAATATGATTTTTTTAAAATAACTTTTATATATAAACTTTTTTAAAAAACGTACATTTTAGCAGTTTAAAAAGCGTGCGCGTGGAATATGACGGTGAGAGGTTGGGAACCCTTGGGTTTGAACAAACCCAAGGCCTGGTTTAGTTCCCATCTTTTTTTTTCAAACTTCCAACTTTTATATCATATCAAAAATTTTTCTACACACAAACTTCCAACTTTTCCGTCACATCATTTCAATTTCAATCAAACTTACAATTGTAACATGAACTAAACACACCCCAAATATAAAGGCGTACAGCCATAGCGGCATAGTAGTGATAACTGTGAGTAGAGTAGCATAATATGTAAATACTCTATCCGTCCCATAAAAAACCAATCTAATACTAGGTGTGTTTAGTTCACGTTAAAATTAAAAGTTTGGTTGAAATTAGAACGATGTGATGAAAAAGTTGAAAGTTTATGTGTGTAAGAACAGTTTTAATGTGATGAAAAAATTGAAAGTTTGAAAAAAAAAATTGTAACTATACAAGGGCGTAGTCAAAATACGTGGGTAGTATTTCCATGAGAGCATTCCGTTTCAGGTGCCTTCAATGCTGAAGGGAAGTTCTGGCTGAACCACTGTGAATCCAGCAAACAAGTCATGTGCTCTTTCACTCGTCAGAGCGGAAGAATCCAAAAAAGGCCGAGAGACCGTGGGCTGCTCCGCTGCTTGCTTGCCCACAATTGTGTAACCACTCTGTAGATCGGTTGGTTCCGTCTTAAATTTCTCCCTCCCCCGATAAAAAAAAAATCACAAGTAGAGGAAAGTAGGAAGGCAATATTCATTTCGTAAGATGGTGGAGCCTATTATGTAGTTGTAACTGTTTGCTCAATAAGTGGTACTCGCTGCGGTTTTATTTTAATTGACGCTTTGAACAATGACACGCTCTATAAAATATATATTTAACCTTATTTTTCTATTATAATATATACAATAAATAAATGCATGTTTACTTTTATTATAGTGTTTTGAAAGACAAATCTATATATGTTTTTCTAGTTTCTTTAAATTAAATATTTTTAAAGTTATTGATGGTTAAAGTTATAAAAGTTTAATCTTAACCTTGTCCAAAACGTCAATTAATATAGAACCAGAGGGAGTATATGTCTACATACTATGTAAATGTAAATATATTAATTATAGAGTAAATTGCACCCACGGTAGATTAACTTGTTAGGTGGGTGCAATTTGGTGTAAGAACTTGAGAAATGAGCGGTCGAGTGCAACAACTTGGCTGGTATGTGCAATTTAATATAAGAACTTATAAGATCATATAAATGCAACAACTTACAAGGTATATATGATTTTGATACAATAAATTAAGAGGTTATGCGGCAACTTAATAGTATTTTTTTATATAGATTCAATTTTTAAGTACTTATTTTGACAGTATACTAACGTGTATTTGTATAAGCATATTTATATTTTTATCCTAATAACTAATAACTGAAAGTCAATTAAACAGGATATAGAAATTATTATATTCCGGTTGATATTTGAGAAGGTCAAGAAAAAAAGTCTTAAAAGGTAATTGGATGTAAATTGTATGTGCAGTATAATTCTTAAAGATTAAGTTCAATATTATAAGGTAATATCCGTAGGATTACTATGTAATGGCATATTGACAACGTGGAAAAAATTCACCTAGCATATACTTAGCAAAGTTGATGCATAAAAATACTAAATTATCAAGTTCTTGTACTAGAACGCACACACTTATCAAGTTGTTATATTTGGACGTTTAATTCTTAAGTTCTTGCACTATATCGCACAAACTTGCCAAGTTGTTGTACTACGGGCGCAATTTACTCTTAATTATAAAACAGGAGAGCTTGTCTACATATTTTCACCCAAAAAAAATCAATCAGATTTGCAACAATGTGATAATAAATGTCCTTCGTAGTTTATATGTAGTCATTTATCTATAAGCCATTTTTACAAAAACAAAAACAACCACCAACCACCTACACCACCAGAGTTTACCAAATCGTGCGGTTATAACGTATGATAACATTTTCGGTTTTACTAAACCACAGGGTGGTGATAATCCCACCCTAAATAGTTCGGTAAACCCTGACCACCACACGGAGCCTATCTCCACCAGACCACCTTACAGACGATGCAACACCACTGGGTGCTCACTCATTCCCTTCATTCCTAACAATACATTAGGTGCAACCCTCTGTGTGGTCTTTCGTGCCCTCTCGCTAGCATGCTATTCACATAACATTATTTATTTTTCATGTCCAATCTCGTTCGATTCCAGTGTTTTTCATATGTTCCACTTAAACTCACATTTTCTGTTTTCATATATTTTTTCATTCCTTGTTCAGGTCAGAATTATGTGATTTTCTTATTATTCCTTTTGTTTCATTCTGCGATTCAAAGGGGCATGAGTAGTTATGTCTCAATCATACACGAGCTGCCAAAGCAATAAGCTTTGGTTTTTTTTTCTCTAGAACTATAGAGTAGAAAAATTTCCACATTTTTCCTTTTCCTCGTTCCTATGAATCAATGGTACGAGCATTGATTTATTTTTTAAAGAAAACCTCTAAAAAATTGGCATAGAGTTACATCCTCTATCGTCACGGAAGAAAAAAACTGACCAATTTTATTAAGGAAAAACTTGCCCTGCAGTCATGCAACTGTGAAGTTAATTGGTGAGTAATCGCCGAAAACCTCCACGGCGAGAACACACTTCGAGGCGGCAAGCCACCGCAACTGATGACCCAAGAAAATTGAGACACATCACGAGTCATTGTTGCCATGTTTTAAAGTCAAAGACCAAGCAACACCGACTTTCCTACGTTGATCCACACCCTCCACGGTCAACAACCGAAAAAAAAAATCAGCAACCACCCAAAGCGCTACTCCCCTTCGTCTAAAAAAAAAAACAAACCCTGGTTTCCGTGTCCAACGTTTGACCCTCCGTCTTATTTAAAAAAATTATGAAAAAAATTAAAAAGACAAGTCACGTATAAAATATTAATCATGTTTTATCATCTAACAACAATAAAAATACGAATTATAAAAAAAAATCATATAAGACGGACAATTAAAGTTGGACACGGAAACCCAGGGTTTGTCTTTTTTTGGGGCGGAGGGAGTACCTTCTAAGGCCGAATTTAGTTCTAAACTTTTTCTTCAAACTTTTAATTTTTCCATCACATCAATATTTTTCTACACACATAAACTTCTAACTTTTCCGTCATATCGTTCTAATTTCAACCAAACATCCAATTTTAGCGTGAAAGTTAGAAGTTTATGTGTGTAGGAAAGTTTTGATGTGATGGAAAAGTTGGAAATTTGAAGAATTATTTTGGAACTAAACACGTCCTAAATGAAACTTCTAGAGAGGACATTTGTCAACTCTTGCTCCGAACACCAGGACTAGGTTTTCACCCGAATAAAAAGGGAGAAGACGACGTTCATATGCACCAACATCTATCGTCGACACCAATCAAAACTAGGACAAGATTTTCACCCAATGTACATTCTCACTTCCTGTCATCCATGCCCTTTACAAAGTGTCCCTTTGCCGTGGCTAGAATACGAGGAATTGAAATTATCGTTGTCAAGCTCACCACAGGTACCATCTTTGGTTGCATACTATAGTTGTTCTAATAAGCGGCAACTACGCTATCATCCGTAGGATCCCGATTCCTACGGCATTTCCTTCCTTTCGAAAAGACTATAAGACCATTCACAGTGCGTCTATGTGGCATTCAACCCCCGACTAGTCACCTAGGAGATTCCCCTCCACGTAGGCAACTAGCGTGGTCCTAGAAATAATGATTACCGCTATGAGGAATGAGTAGCATTGTCAGAGAAAGCATGAGAGTAAGTAGAAAAAAAACACAAACACACGTAAGAGAGATAGAGAGAGAGAGAGGAATGACGTAGTGAAGTGTCGCAGACGACGATGCCATCACCGCCGAGCTCCATGTTCCATCACCGTTGGGCAACATGTTTATCGCCGCAAGCTCCATATCCACCGTCGCCCCCTCGATCTACACCGCTGAAGAATAAGGAGGCTTCCTCGTATTGGATAGCTTGCATAGGCGACAAGGAACGGCGACAACTGGAGTTGGAAGCTAGTGGAGGGAGGAAGGCACCGACAGTAGGAGGGAGGGATAATGTGGCGTCGACACCGGTGGATGGAGGAGGGGAGAAATGGTGCCATCATCGCCGCTAGCTGGATGCAATGGCAAGAAGTGAAAAGATCAGGTGAGGATAGGGCGTGATTTTATATTATTTATAGATTTTAGGGTGTTGAGTGTAAAATTTTATACCACTATATGTATATATAGTAGAAAACAGAAGGGGTTGAAATGCAAAAATATCTATAGGGGTTTAAGGCTACGTTCGTTAGGACTGGTTTTAAATTGCATCACTGTCACTGATATTGGTAGCAGAAGTAACAAAGGCTGTGTTTAGATTCAAACTTCTAACTTTTTCCATCACATCAACCTATTATACACACACAACTTTTCAGTTACATTGTACCAATTTTAACCAAAACTTATTAACTTTGGAAGTAACTAAAAACAGCCAAAATTGCCATGTCACTGGCCCGCGTCTTCTGATAACGTGTCAGGCCCTGACGCTGCAAGCTGCAACAGCAACAAAGGACGGAAGGAGCACATGCTGACCGCGACAACGTGCATGCCAGCATCTGCGCAAAAGATCATTTGTCCAACGCACACAGGTTCCGACGGCGAAAACACTGGACCAGGAGTCCAGAAGAATTCAACATGCCCACCAAACCCAGATTACGGGGATCACTACCCAGTTGTTTTGCCAACGGAAATGCGTCGCCCGTGCCACGAAATGATAAAAAAACAACTAAACAAACGACGAATAATTTGAAGGTCTACTTCACATCAATCTCTACCTCTTCATGCCCATGCCTTGTTTGGAACGGGAATAGTACTACAGATTTTACAAATTTTCGCAAGGGGAAGCAGTAAAGGGTGCCGCAGAAACGGGATGACGGGCCCTTTGGCAGAAACGGGAGGGGGACCCGTGACTGGCCCCCAGCACCGGCACAGGCGTAGTGAATGCACGGCGTACTACGAGCCAAACCATCGTTGCTCACACTTGGCGCGTATCCTCGGGGCGGGCACATGCGAGGCGCAGCGCCAGCGCGCTGCTGCAAAGGGACGCGGCCCGGCGGCCGCGCCATGTGTCGCGCGGGCGAAGCAGGGGAACGTGCAAGTGTCCTGTGCCGTGCGTGACACGGGGTCCCCTCGCCGCGTGCCCCACGGTGGTCACCTACACTTGCCACGTGCCCCACGGTGGAGTAACTAACCTAACTGAACTGGAATGAATGCTGTGGGCTGGTGGTGAACACGTCGCACATGCACGCAGGACTACTACTACTTTTGCACCCCAAGTTCTAGAGCAATGGTTTGGTGTGTTCGGTTCACGCCAAAATTAGAAGTTTGATTGAAATTAGATGATATGACGGAAAAGTTAAAAGTTTATGTGTGTAGAAAAATCTTGATGTGATGGAAAAGTTTGAAGTTTGAAGAAAATGTTAGGAACTAAACCATGCCCAAGGTTAATAGTTTCGGCGACTGTTGGCGGCAACCGAGTGCCACGTCCTCTAATAGACAACTAATCTACAATGCATACAACAACAACACTTCTTTATTTTTTTTAATCGAGCTAGTGCCTACTCCGAAGGAACTTGCCCAGTATTTTACGTCCCCATTTATTTTTCCATTGGTTGTTGTGAGAGCAAATGGGCCCATGGTAAGTGAAATGTAGAGGCTCGCGCAAAAAGCCGGCGACTAAATAGTTGCTCACTTTTCTCTCTCCAAGTTTTCTTTCTTGGCCACGTATACAAAAATCCTATATGTAAGCAGGCTATTAGCCCATTGTTGTACCTGCTCTTATGGTTCACAATCGACAATTTGAAGAGTTCCAAGCTGCAAGAAATCAGCAGACAGGACACGGGCCCAGCCCAACAGCAACGAAATGTTAACAGAAAAGGCCCATTTAATATCTTCGAGGCATCCAGCCATTTCTGAAGACCAGCCCATCTAACGTGTGGCATGGAATATTCAGCCTTGGAAACCTAGCGTGATACTGTAGCTCATATTGCTGACAAATAACAATTTACACAATTAGATGGAACAACGAAAGGAGAGGAAATATCATTTACATGCTACTCCATAAACATGGGGGCTGAGGATAAATGCAGTAGACAAGCGAGTCGTGTTCAGGTCCAAGCTCGAGAACCCAGCATCCCTGATGATTTCGCCTGTTTCTCTGGTGAGGTGGCACCCGTCAGAGACAAACTGCTGCAGAGGATTAAGGGCACCTTGCACGAATCGGAGGAAGGATCCATCTATTGCACGGGGCAAAAGGAGAAGGAGAGTCAATAATGCACAACAACAGAAAATCTCTAAACAGAAATGGTCTTAAGCCATTTGTGTGTAAAATGTGAAAGAGAATAGCAGGTGGTACCAGGCGCAGCAACATGCTCAATGAATATGTAGAGACCACCAGGCTTCAGGACTCGTTTTATTTCTGTACAATTAAAGGCTCTGAGTTGTTTAGCTAGAAAATGATTATTATAATTTAATATAGATGAAGTTTGTTGTCTATGCAAGGCAAAAATGATTATGCCAAAATTCAAGAGATGCAAAAATATTGTGGAAATATACAGACAAGAACAGATGTCATACTTCAGTTATGTAAAAGGGGATGAAGAGTTTCACTTCTTTTTCAGATAATGGAAATAGTTTACATTTACGGTGAAGAGTTTAACACAAAACGGTAAACTTCAGTTTAAACCTTTCTTAGCATTGGATGGCTCGAGTTCTAGGTAACGCCAATTTCTTATAATTGGGAAAACACAAGACGAAGAGTATGAAGTGTAAAAGTATCCGACACATCATATTACCTTGTTCAATAATGTGCATATTTCAAGCCCAGTGACAGTGAGTGCATTTATTTTTTTGGATAGAAAATCAGTGACAATTTCAGGTAGCTAAGAAACAATAGTAAAATTAAAATATTCTTGATAATAATTTTATGGAATATTTTAAACATCTTGCCTCATGGACATATCTAAAGATTCCATATGTTGCAAAGCTTTGCAGAAATTATAAAGAGCATTTGTACTCAGATAAGAAATACTGTTGTTAGAAAAGAAACAACTCTTACCTCTCAATGCCATTTCAACGTCACTTACAGAACACATTACCAGAGTGCCAACAACAGCATCCATTGAATTGTCCTCAGCTGGCAAAGCTTCACCAACCTAAATACAATTACGCATCAAAGATAGTTCACAGAACTAAAAAGAGAAATAGTGCGCTACCAGAAGGCACCATACCCCTCTTCTGAAGGTGAAGTTCGAAGGTGGAAGTCCAGCAGACACTGCAGCTGCTCTGGCATACTCCTCCATGTGTTTATTAGGATCCACCCCAACTATGTTAACGCCATCGGCATTTGCATAGTACTTGAGATTAGGGCCTGTTCCAACACCAAGTTCAAGAATGTTCTTCCCAGCAGTCATCAATTGGGAAAAGAGCTTTGATTTATACTGTGCAATCTGCAAAACTCATTATTGTGATAAGATCAGCATGATCACGGCAGATGATCAAAATCACATCACAATCCCTGAGAAAAAAAACAGTGATAACTTTTTTTAACAGGGAAGCTAAAATTACTGATGAAGATTTAAGATCATGTCTGCTACTCGCAGACACTCTAGGTGCTTACTTGTGAATTCTGATATAGTGATATCTATGGAAAAAAATTCAGATACTAAGACAAATTACCGAGTTCTGAAAATCAAACGTTAGAGCTTATACAGATTAACAGATATGTGATCGAAATGGTCAACATGTCATGTATGGAAAAAAATTAACTCTGATGTCGAATTGGGCAAACTGAGTTGAGTGAGCACTGAGCACCAATACAGTTGTTCGTATAGACAAAAATCTACTAGCAAACCACAAGTTTCAGAATGGCAGAGTAGTGGAACTGAAAGTCTGAAACTAGGGGAAAAGCAAAAATACCTCAGCCTCGTAAGGTTTCATGAACTTGTCCATGGCCGTGGCATAGAACTTCTCGTACCACTCCGGCCTGGCAGGGTGCACCCGCTCAAGCATCACCTGCACAACAACCAAAAACCCAAGTACGGGCAGCTCAGAAGATGGCCATGAAGCCACCAAACATGGAGGGCCTCATCAGGGCCAGGGCCGGCAAGAAGCTTACTTCGGGGTCGACGGGCGAGGCGGCGGGCGACGGGAGGGCGAGCAGGGGGAGGAGAGCGGTGGCCGAGGTGGAGCCGATGAGGTGGCGCCGGCCACAGCGGCAGAGGGGAGGGAGAGCAGCGGTGGTGCACACGCGGCTGGTTTTGACGGTGAGGGATGGCCGGCTCCCGAGGCCGGTCGCCGGCGTGAGCGCGGCGGCGCCCTGCTGCTGCATGCCGTCGACGAGCGGCGGAGGACGGGGGCCTCGTCTTTGTGGTGGCCTCTCGCTTCGGTTGGAAATTGCACTTTCGGAAGCGAGGAATACGTCAGCTGCTGTCGAAGGCGTATTTTCGGGTTTACTTGGGATTGGCGGAATCAAAGCCCATATATATGTAGGAGAAGGATAGGCCCATCAACGGATCAACGTGTGTGGGCTTTCTTCGTGTGTAAGCAAATTTTGACCAGAAAAATCGCCGCGCCCACTTCTTCCGATCTGAGTAATGGAGAACACGGAATAGTTTGCTTCTCTGTCTGCCTCTCCTGGAGCTGGGCACCCTGAACAATAGAACACAGAGTTTGATTATTCTATTCTCTCTATGTCTCTGCATCTCTATGTGCAAACTGCAAACACAATTTTGTTAGGGGCAAAAGGCCAAAAAAACACGCGGATTGCTATTCGGGCCGTGTTTAGTTGTTTTGGGAAAAAAAATTGATGTATACGGACTCACATTTGAACTATTAAACGTAGACTAAAACAAAACAAATTACATATTCCGCCTGTAAACAGCGAGACGAATCTATTAAGCCTAATTAATCCATCATTAGCAAATGCAAATTAGGCTCAAAAGATTCGTCTCGCAATTTACATGCAAATTGTGCAATTGGTTTTTATTCTGTCCATATTTAATGCTCTATGCATGTGTCTAAACATTTGACGTGACGAAAAAGTTGAAAGTTTGAATAGAACTAAAACACAGCCTTGGACGATTTTTCTGTAGTTTTTCTTCGGCCGGATTGATAAACGTACGTTGACCAAAGCAGGTGTGCCAACTGGAAGAAGGTGGTTTTCTCCTGCATGTTTGACGTTTTGTCGACGGAGATTCACCTACCTGGCAATTTCTCAGGTGCCATCAAGGTTCAGTATCTGCAGCATTTTGCTCCGACGGACCAGGTCATGCTGTGCAAGTTTGGTTCGTGTGATCATGTTGGTTATCTGCTTAACTAGGATTATACAAATCTTTTGCACGTGCTGTTATAGCATTACATTGAGTAAATTAAACTACAAATATTTTTGTCAAAACTATTACTCACTTTACTTCAATTAGACATTTCATAAGGCCGCCATAACAATAGGTACTATCTAATAACAAATCTGCAGCTTTTACCCTCTAGGTGTGTTTGACAAGTGGACTACCCAATTACCAATTTGCAACAATGCAAGTATTACATATGCGCCTGGCAGGTAGAAGTTGACAAACTTTGCATTTCTTTGACAAAAATCATTAGCAAATGATGCATTTTTATGAGATTACATTGAAAATTGTAGCAAAGTGACAGTTCCTACGTATTAGTTCGGTTTCTAAATTTTGCTCTATTATATATCCCTTGTTTTATTTACTGTAGCGGTACTTTCTCCAAGTAGGGGTAAACTAACTCGCGCAAGAGTAGGCAAATAATGAGTTTCTAAGAGCATCTCCAAGAGAATGGCCAAATAACCCTCCAAGTTCAATTATAGTAAGTTTGAGAGAAGAAAAAAAAACACTCGAACAACCTCTCTATCCTGCTGGCCAAGCCATCACGAGTGGATAAGGAGAGGGAGGGGCGGAGTGGTCGTCATTATCCACTCCACTCGCCTCCCCTCCTCTCTCTCTCTCCCTCTCTCTCTCTCACTAGGGTGTCGTGGCCTGCATAGATCTGCCCCAAGGCAGTGTGAGGCACCGAGGCCACCGCGCGCGAGGTGTTACTATGGGTGGTGCCCATGGAGGAGACGGAGTGGTGCCGGCGGTTGGGTGGATCCGATAGTGACCAAGGTTCGTCTGCGTAGATAGGCGGATTCAGCTGCGAACATAGCGTCGGCAGCTCCCCGCAGGCGGTAATGATGGAGAAAGAGGCTTGCCCCTCCTCTCCATCCGGTGATAGCAGCGGTGGTGGTGGAGAAGGCCAACGTAGAGGCGAGGTAGTGGCCAAGAAGGAGGCTCTGTTAGGTTCTTTTAGTGTTTTTGGATGTTTTTAGTGTTGGGTTTGTTCATGTATTCTTGGATGTTCTTGAATGCCGATTGATATTTATGGAATCTGATCGGGGCGAAGGGGAACTGCTCAATGCATCGGATTGATCGAACCGACTTTTTTATTTTTTGCTTTCCTGAAACTTCAAATGTGTCGGTTCTTAAATCGAGGTGTTGCACGCTGGATACCGATTGCGAAATCTGGCACTTATAACCGGTTTCGAACCGACACCTACCCCTTTTATGTAGTAGTGTCCTCCTTAAACACATGTTCGACTGAAACTACCGAACAAACACATGTCGTGTGTGAACTTAAAGAGATGGTTTAGGATTCTACTCTGGATCTGCAGAAGTGAAGAAAAAAAATATTCGGATGACGGGAAGAGCACATCAGCGATGAGCCTGCTCTCCCAGCCTTTGCCCGGCTGTCCGGCTGGACCGCCGGAGCTTGGCCCCATCTGCAGTCTGCCTCCTCCGCTACTGCAGCTGCTTCACTGTCGTCTGCTTGTACCGTTTCATCAAACCTGACAGGAAAAGAAGCTGGAGACGCAAAAGGCGCCGTAGGTTTAGACAGGAGCTGCACAACTAGGTACGTACTATACATGATTCGATCATAGGCTGCCTGCCAGCTGACCGAGACGTGATACGTGTCGGAATTGCAAGAGAAGAGTACCGTCTCTCTCTCCCTTTCATTTGGGTGGGCTTCGTCTTCACAATGCCATTTGGCGGCTGTTAGTACTGTGAAAAAATAGTGATAGAGTGATACTAGTAGTAGCTGTTCTATACGCGCGTACAGTATCATATCATCGGGCAGATTCTTGGCCAGTGCAAGTACGGTTCAGCATTTACGTTGGTACTCCGTCTTTTACGGCAGAGTAGTACAGTGTCACTGTACTGGTATTCTGGTACTGGTACTAACACATGGGATCTTCACAAATCACAATCATTGTCCCTGTACATTTATTCATTATATTCCCCATGCATATGGTGTCAAGGTTCACAAATTGTGCTCCTAAGCTAGCTCTCAAGTGGTACACATAATATACTAGCTAGCAAACCGCATTAACATAAGTGCCTAACAGTAGCATTGTACTACGAAATACTACTCCCTACCAGGCTACCAAAGCATGGGCGATGGATCGTAACGTTGTGAAGAATCTCCGGCACATCATTTCACCGAAATCCGGGCTGCATCCACGGCGGGGCACACACGACTAAACGAGCCAGCCAGCTACGACGTGCGCGCGATGCAAGCGCACGGCGCGGCCGCGGCGGTTCACATGCGCGACCCGAGCGAGCCTCAAAAGCGGCCTACCCATGCGCCCATGCAAAGCTAGACGCCATAGCCCATAGGCAAATGGAGCAGCGGTGTGTGTGTGCAGAGATCTCACTCTCCTACGTACAGTAGGTGTACTAGACCTGTCAGCGTGCCGCGGCGTCAAATCCATGCAGGCCAGGGGGCCGTGCGGTGCGTGTCGCGCTGCGGCGATCGAACGTACTGTACGCTAAACCTGCGATCCATCGAATCGTCGATCACTCGTTCACATAATTAAAGGCACATCTTTTCTCCTTTATTATAGACACCCACCAACCTCACCCCCTGCACACACAGTCGATCGTCACACACAACAACTCAGGGCTTGTTTAGATCCCTTGCAAGTTTTTTCACCCTGTTATATTGAATATTTGGACACATGTATAAATTATTAAATATAGAAAAAAAATGTTATACAAATTGCTTGTAAATTGTGAGATGAATCTTTTAAGCCTAATTACTCCATAATTTGACAATGTTGGGCTGCAGTAAACATTTGCTAATAAAGAATTAATTAGGCTTAATAAATTCGTCTCGCAGTTTACAGGCGGAATCTGTAATTTGTTTTGTTATTAGACCATATTTAATACTTTAAATGTGTATCCGTATATCTGATAAAACATTGTAAAAATTTTCACCCCTAAATCTAAACACTGCCACAGATTCAAAGTGACGAGGAACATACGGTGATCGATGCGCGGTTGGACTGATCTGCCCCGTGCCCTGTACTAACGGCATATAAATACAGTCTCCATCGATTCGAAGCTCGCGTTGCATTCAGCGAGCATTTGAGCTTCTTCAGACATTGCCCGGTGAATGAGAGAGAGCTTGTCTTCCTACTAGGTCGACTCTTCCCGTACGTGCTGGACTTCTACTGCTGCTGGTGGTCTGCAGCAATGGAGCTAGTACGGCATCCACCGATGATTCCTAGGCCGCAGTGGTACGTACGCTCATCTCAGGTCTTGCATGTGGAGACGAGGTGTATTGCTGGTTGTGTAGCCAAGGATGACTTGCCGGCCTGGTTTGTGTTCATCAGCAATCCAGCATATGCTGTATTGCCGTGTGTGATCGATCGATGCATGGACCGGCAAGTTATTTTCTTTGGCTACATTACAACCTCGTCTTCTCATGCTAGACCTCAAGATGATACACATGCATGAGTGCAGGATCAGATGCAGCGATAGGATATGATGTCGGTGCTGATCGAGGGCACTACTTGTTCGGTGATCTCTCTCTTAATTTCTCGTACACTAGCTAGCTAAGCTAGTTCTTCCATAGTTCCATGTCTGGTTCAATGCAATTGCACTTTCATTCTTTGAGGGGAGGGGGTTGTCGATCGAGAAGGACTGATCGATTGCAGATTTCTAACTTGTGTCCTATGCTTCACGTACGTCGCCGATCTTCGTATCACAAATGTTTAGATTGCTGCATTGTCCATTTCGTGTCTAGCACATAGTATTAGTTCAGTTTTGAACCGATTATTAAGTAACTTTTGCATAGTGTACACAACTAAAAAAAGGGGTACAATAATATGCATGAACTAACTACATAAACTACACTGAACTAGGACGATAGAAATACAAGACTAATTACTACTCCACTCGGTCCCATCTGCTGTCATATATATGTATTTTTTCTTTTGAGTAATTTTACAGTTCTTGACAAGGTATCATGAGATACCACTTTTTCTATTATAAATTTGATACCTCTTATTACCTATGTATTATGAGATATCAAATTTTACACTAATTTTTTGTTATCTTATAGTACCTCCTAAAAAACTGTAAAATTCCTATTTTTCTTTTCAGGGATATAGGCTTTCATATTGGACAAATATCTAGTGAAACATTTTAGTTAATAAATACTGAATAAACATCATAGTATTGAAACTTTAATGGCACCTATTTGTATCCACAGGAAATCATAAGTTCAAAGTATAAAAGGAGTATGTTGATAACAAATTAATCTGATAACTTTAAAACATTGAGTACAAACGTTTTGCATCAATTAACAAGTGAAAAATGTGGAAACAAGTGATAGCAAGTTAATGTATTGAATGGTGTACGTTCAGTTAATACACTGAAGTAACTGACTATAAGGCACGTTTAGTGACTTATTAGGGCCAGCATGTTTGAATCTCTAATTTGATTTATCTTTTTCAGCGGCATGTAAAAATGAGATAAGCAATAATGCACATAAATAATTCAGTATCAATTATTATAAACTTTAAAATAAGTTTATCTGATTTTTCAAAGAAATTTTTTTATATATTTTTTAAAAAATATCATTTAACAGCTTAAAAAACGTCCTAATTGAAAACAAAGAAGTTGTTCTCTGAAGTTAAAGGAATGAACACGGCCAGAACCATGACAAGGACGTCGTAAATGCATACTCCTACTAAATAATGAAGTACTCCTACTACATCTTTTCTTTCAGAGTCCAAATAATGAAGTACTCCTACTACATGTTTATGCATCTGCCGATCTGCGTTCATCTGTGTTATCACAAAGACACCAACCAGTACACAGTAGGCGATCATACCAGTATCCTGTGTGGGATCAGCAGCTAGTCCTACTCCTTGCAGCTTTGCGCAGCGACCAGTGTACTAGCACAGTACATCGCCTGATCGTTTCAGTCTCGATCACGCCGCTGCTGCTGGCCGGTCTGTTCGCGCCGTACGCATGCCCATCTGCTGCTCCTGCAGCCCTACTCCGGCTCGCCGCGACCTCACCCGCACATGTCGGGAGCGAGCCGATCACGATCGCTTGCATCAGCCATGGCCCAGCCGATTCAAGCCTGTCGAGAGACCTGTGTCGAAATAACTATTGTTAGTCTCTGATGACTGATGAGCTGATCGACGGAATACTACGAAGTTCTGCACCCTATACAAGTAGTATATACATGTGCTACCTACTGTGGTAGTGTGGTCTGTACTGTACGTTGAGTGCAGACTGATTGCTGCTGGTTCGCGGCCTGTAGTGGAGCAGCTCAAGTATGATCAGCGGTTCTTCTTCCTCGATCGAATGGCCGTGGCCGACGATGGCGTCCAATTCCCAGCGCGCGACCACCAGCGCAAGCAGGCCGAACTAACGGAGTTTTTTGGGCCAGTCCATCACCGAGCGGCCCGGTAAAGGTAGCCCATAATCGCTACCATTCTGTACTGGACCCAAATAAAGTTGGCCCGACACCGTGAGAGCCGACAGAACGAAAGCATATTGGATCGCCACAATTTGGTTGCGATCTGACAAAACTTCCGTCTCCACAGGGCACGTATATCCACCATGGTGTAGGTCTATATCAGTCGATTTACACAATTTATATATTTTGGAAGCAATATCCACCATGGTGAACGGTACAGGTTCTTTGATTAACATGGAGTAGTACATTCCTTCTTTTAGCCTACACTACAAATGCAATATAATGCATTCATGCAGACGGAGCACCTATTTGCTTTCCTTTTGAGTCTGATGCCAACATTTACAGGCGCTATCAGGCAACTGTGTATCTTGCTATTACACAGCCGCTCTGTACGGTATTACAGAATGCAGCCGCATCGCGCCATGATCATGCAGTCATCCATCCATGCGCAATCTCTCATTCATCCATCAGTTTGTAAGCTGCTCCTCCTTGGCTGCTTCCTCGAGTTCTCTGAGCCCTCCGACCCTCTGCTCGATCTCCTCGAGTAGCTCCTCCCTCAGGAGCTCCTCTCTTGCAGACGCCTCCAGGTCCTCTTGCTGCAGAATCAACCATGGGAGAGTGGAGATCGATCAGCAAAATGACTGGTTATCTTAGTAGCTTCGCACAACTAGAGTTTGTCTAATTGTCTGAATGTTCTTTCTTCGTGATAAAGGAAAAAAAAAAAGCCGTAATGAAAGACATACCCGGTCATAGTACCAGTGCACGGTGCCGTCACCCCCTTGTCCCCTGTACGCCTCACTGTCGTAGAAAGGATCCTGTAAATTCACACAAGACCGTGTCAGTAACACATATCGAAGATGTAATTTCGTTCCAAGTTGTAGTGGCATATGTTCTGCGTGCTTGCCTTCATGGACGCAAAGAAGCAGATGCCCCAGACTGTGAAGAAGGCGTAGAAGGTATCTACGAGACAGACAGAGAAATTTTTTTGTGAAAAGTTTCAGTTTCAGACGTAACAACAAACTGCAGGAAAGGTGAAACGACGACGACGACTCACAGACGCTCTTGAGGGCGGCGTCGCTGAGATGCCAGATCGACTTGTGCACGACGTAGTCCCTCTGCAGGTCGACGTGCTCCACCATCGTCACCATCAGCGTCACCACGTCCAACGGGGACGCGTTCGCCTTCACTGAACCCCTCCCGGCCGATTTCTGCAAACGCTAAGACCGCATTACTTTGCCTCACCAATCACCACGGATTTCTTCTTTCTCGGTGAAAAAATTAAAATGCACTGGGACCTTTCACCTTGCAACGGCTGGAGTTGGACCTCGGGTCATGGAATCCACCGAGCTGCAAATTTAACAACAACATTTGAACAAGTAGGTGAAATTCGCAAGGAATTCAGGAAAGCAGTTTTTGCATGAACGCGAAGGGGAGAATGGACGGTGCGGTACCGTTGCACGGCAGCGGCCATGGAGCTGGGCTCTGTTCGCGGAGTGAAGAGCAGAGAAGTGGGGGGACGACTTGAGCAGCGGCAACGCCATTGCTGGTAGGCTGCTGCTTCAGTAGCGGGTTGGCGATGAGCTTGTTGTTGTCAGTGTAGCGGGCTCACGTTTGGCTCAGGGGTGAAACCTGTAACCTGTAATCTGTATGGAAAATTTTAGTGGATAAGGTCAGACTTTTGGGTGGCCAACCATTGTCTGATCTTGGGCAGACGAAAAGCACAAGAATTTTGGGCTTGGTTGAAGCGGGCTTGAGCGTTGCTAGGCCTTGCCCGGTCAAGGTCATGTTTGGGCCGGATGGGATTAGGTTGACCCGTGGGCTCGTGGCCCGTTACGTGCATCCGTCCGCCATTTCTTGGAGGGCGCTACGGCTTGGCGTCCGGCATCTCACCAAAAATCGGACGCCCATGCAGGCATGTGAGAACGAACCCTGTCACTGTAACGTATGTGTCTAACTGCTTCTTTTCATTCTTTTCTCCTCTCTTTAGATATTTTTTATCCTAAATTACTTATCCAATTTACGATCCGATCACACCGTTCTATTCGTTGCAATTAAATCTTTACAATGAGATATCACATGATTATATTATGTCAAAAGAAAAACATGTATTTCAAAACGTTAAAACAAAATGTTTCGTACGTGATAGTGATATGTTTCAATATGTGTCATCGGTGTGTTTCACAAAATTCATGAAACTAACTGCTACTACTCTCTCTCCTCTCTCTCCACCTCATCCATGCACACATGTATGTATTTTAGCAAGCTTCAAAATAATTTTTCTCTTAAATTACTTATCCAATTTATGATCCGATCACACCATTATATTTGTTCTAATTAAATCTTTACAATAAAATATCACATGATTTTATTTTGATAAAAGAAAAATATATGTTTCAATTCGTTAATACTTGTTGTTTCATATGTGCCAGCGACATGTTTCAACGTGTATTTTCACCATGTTTCATAAAATACTTAAATGTTTCGGTTGTTGATTTTTTTTGTTTCACCATATATAACATAATGTTTCACTTGCTGGTCAACGCTCACCCCCGCACTGCCGCGCGCATACGCATGCATGTAGGCCGCCCATGCTGCATTGTTCACGTGCCACGTTGCTTGCCTCCCCTGTATGTGTTGCTTGCGCTGCTGCTTGCATACGCTCCCTCCCTCTCCCTTCTATTATTACATGTGCCTAATTTTTTCCTCAAATTTTAAATATTTTTTTCTCCAAAATTATATATTCTGATCTAAATTTCAATGATACCATTAGATTCATCATCATTAAATCTTTATAACAAGATCTCACATGGTTATATTTTGATAAAAATATACATGTGTCTCAAAAAATAACTTGTCTCACCATTGATAGAAAACTGTTTCATCACATGTACACAAATATTACAACTCACCTCGTGAATTGTTTCAAATTTAGAGAAATACAACAATTTACTAACTGAAACAATCACAACCACTACACAAAACGTTAAATACCAATGAGTGAAACATAAAAAAAATCATATGAAAAATAAAATATTTTTGCACAAATACTTAATTATGTTGAAATATTTTTAAATCGGACGCTACAAATCGTACGTTCAATATTTTTTCAAATATCGGAGCCTACCAATCGTACGTTCAATATTTTTTTAAAGACGCTGCTCCTCGTTTGTATGCAGGGACACGTTGAAGGAGCGAGGTTGTCGCATGCATGCATGCATGCAGGAGTAGACCTGGTTGCCAAGATGACGTGAGGCATCATTACTCTGTCTCTCTTAATCAAACTTTAAACATAATTTTATTCTAAAATATATATCCAATCTATAATTTATAACAAGATCTCACATGAATATATTTTGATAAAAATATATGTGTTCTAGAAAAAAAACAAACTTATGTTGAACTATTTAAAAATAATTCTTTCATCACTTGTGGAGATGTTTCAACCCACTTCACAAACTACAGGCATAGCACTAAGCTCGGCAGCCCATTTTTGCAAGCTGATAAGTGATAAACACAAGGACGCAAGCTCCAAGTGATACTTTCACACATTGGAAAAAGGTCCAATTAGCAGTACGGAGTACTGAACATAGAACAAGTCTAGCTGATGCTGTTTATGTCGATGGAGCAAGCGACAGTTGGTACCAACCAAACACCATGCACCGGCCGGTGAGCGCGGGGCACGCATCATGCCATGTATTACTCACGTCACAATCACCTAACCCCACACGCGCTAGTTTCATGGGTGCCTCGGCCCTGTCCCTTCCTGTATACTATCTCCGTCCTATAAAATACAAATTTAAAACCGTATATATTATATTCTAATATGATATATATATATATATATATATATATATATATATATATATATATATATATATATATATATATATATATATATATATATATATTCAGATTCGTAATACTAGAATATTACACTTTGGCACACAGCCACACAAGCTTGCAACACCAACACGCCAACACGAACACGTCGTATATCCTGCTTCATCAAGAACAGCGAGTCTGCATCCTTCACCTTCGCTTGAACTAATTAAGCGTCACCAATGGAAGGAAAAGCCGCAGTGACGACGTCGACCGAGCACGGCGACGGCGAGGCTTCGAGAACGGCGGCCCGCACCGTGGTGAGCGGCAGCAGCCGCGGCGGAGCGGCGAGCAGAGCGCTGTCCGTGGCCGACCTCATCCTCCGCGTCGTGGCGGTCGTCGCCATCGTCGACAGCGCCATCGCCATGGGCACCACCAACCAGACGCTCCCGTTCTTCACGCAGTTCCTCCGGTTCAAGGCGCAGTACAGTGACCTCCCGACCTTAACGTGCGACCATTCTTGCCTTCTAGCTACAATCGTCAATCTGCATTACTTCCGTTTGCAAGCTCGTTTATTCCTTCCTGTTGTCACCAGGTTGTTCGTGGTGGCGAATTCGGCTGTTACTGCGTACCTGGTGCTGTCCATCCCGCTGTCCGTCGTGCACATCATCAGGAGCAGGGCAAGTTACAGTAGGCTGGTGTTGATCTTCCTTGACTCGGTATAAATCGATCGATCAAAACGTAAAATATTACTGAATTTTGGCTAATCTGGGGGGGCTCTCGTGATCGTGCAAAAGGTAATGCTGGCGCTGGTGGCGGCGGTCGCGTCGGCGTCGGCGGCGATCGTGTACCTGGCGCACAAGGGCAACGTGAGGGCCAACTGGTTCGCCGTCTGCCAGCAGTTCGACTCGTTCTGCGAGCGCATCTCAGGCCCCCTGATCGGCTCCTTCGCCGCCATGGCCGTGCTCCTCCTCCTTGTGCTCCTCTCCGCCGCCGCGCTGGCCCGCCGCTGAGTAATAAGAAAATCAAGGTTGAATTGTGCATCGCGCGGCTGACCGGGAGAGACGGTAACATCAATACATGTGGCTGTTGCTGGTTGTTACTGTAGTTGTTACCGTGTCGCCTGTGTATCAGGAGATTCAGAGTCCGTGAGCCGTTGTCGAGTACGTACGTGCCGGCAGAGACCGGTGCCTTGCTTTGAAAATTCAGTACTCCAACATCGAGTGCAGTGACCTGTACTGGTTTACAAATTTTCAATTTTAAACTCATCTGCACAATGAGAAAGCAGAAGGTATTATTGATGTGCGGATCAATTTTGGACATACAACTTTCAGAGTATGCAGACGCATACTGTTACAATGTTTTCCGAATCATAAATACATATACATGTGATGTCTACATAATATAAATCGGGCGTCCGATTTTTTTTTATATATATATATAAATTGTGCGTTGTTTCACCAAGTAGATCGAAATTATTTCACTAAGTAGATAAAAAATGTTCATTTTTTAATATTTTAAAAAGCTGAAACACAACCAAATCATCTCGTGAAACATTTTACTACAACGTATGAAACAACGGTTTCCAAAAAAACCGGACGCTATTTCACCTTATATAAAAACAATGTTTCAGCAAATAACGAAAGGATGTTTCAATTAACTGCAACATTTCATTCATACGTAGTGAAACATCACAAGTACACTTACTGAAACATTATTGGCGGAACAAAAAATGAAACGAATTTCATTAATAGAGCGTTTCTGTAATATGTGGGTGATTTGTTGTAATGACGCGTGTGGTGGGGTGTGTGGTGGGGACGACGCAGGAAGCGGTGAGCGCCCGATTTTTCTTCCGCTGATCGAGCGCTCGATCGGTGCCATTTCCGATATAAATCGATATGAAAACATGATATTTGATGAGTGAGAGCCCTCAGGGCCGATTTATATATGGGCCATCCCATGGTGGGCCGGTTAGTTCTGTTCCTGGGCCATCCACGAAGGTCATGACTTGGGCCTAAGGCCTAAAGGAGTTCCTCCGTACGTGAACACATTTTACTACGGTAACAGGTTACAGGCTAACAGCCAATCAAGTTTTGGATTAAACGGTTAAACTCGACTAAATTACCCGCGCTATTACTGTACCGTGCGTCGATTCGCTTACCTCCTAATACACACTGACGGATGGGCCTTGGATGCAAACCGGACCCACATGTCACTGACTGATAAGTCGATCCCACCCACATCCGCGCTGATGTTCTAGAACCTTTCGTAAACCTCCTCTTTCTCATATAAATCGGGCCCAAACGAAAACTCCCATTCCTCCGACTCCAATCCAATCCAACGCTTCCTTCCTCGCAAAGCCTCTGCGAATCTCGCGCACGCAGAAACCGCTCCCAAACCCTAGACGCAATGGTGGTCACCATCGATCTCCGGGAGGTCACCATCGATCTCCGGGAGGAGGACGAGGCGGCGGCGGCGGCGGCGATGAAGGCCATCGCTGGGAGGAGCGACGAGGAGGTCCTCGCGGCGGTGCTCGCGCGCAAGGGTGGCCCTGTCCCGTTCCTCCAGGCGGCGATCGACGCCGCGGCGGCGGCGGCGACGAAGGCCATCGCTGGGAGGAGCGACGAGGAGGTCCTCGCAGCGGTGCTCGCGCGCAAGGGTGGCCCTGTCCCGTTCCTCCAGGCGGCGATCGACGTCGCGCAGCGGCGATCCGACCTGTTCCTCGACCCCTCCGCACCGGGGGTGGTGGCGGAGATGGCGGTGGAAGCCCAGGCCAAGGCGGAGGCGGAGGAGAGGCGGAAGAGGGCGAAGGGGGAGCCGAGGAAGGCGGAGGAGATGCTGAAGGAGGAGGAGCCGATGAAGGCGGAGGAGATGCTGAAGGAGGAGGAGCCGATGAAGGCGGAGGAGATGCTGAAGGAGGAGCCGAGGACGCCGATGAGAGAGGCGGGGAGGGACAAGGTGGAGAGGGCAGCGGTAGTGGAGCGCGTAAGAGGTGGGTGATCTCGCACCGTGACCTTCTAATTGTTCATCGTGTTCGAATGCGAAATGTTTGCGTGCTTCGGTGACCTGTATGCTCTTATTCGATTATAGATTGTCATTTCGCCTGTTGATCTCTACCTCTTATGCGGAATTGGGGGCAGATATTGAGTTTGAATCAGCAAATGTGCTTTCCCATCTTGTGCCAAGCTAGGGCCACTTGTCTAGACTTCGATCAGTTCTCGATCTGTAGTAGTTCTATAGTGGAGCTATAATCCTCAGATTTCGAGGTTGCAGATATGGCGGAGTATAAAATTGCCATGTAGTAGTTTTTTATTTTCAGGTCCGATCTCATGTTGCACATTGGTGGCTGAAGGGAGTAAAATTTTGATCAAGTGCTTACTAATTAGTCTGGATAAATCTTAACATTAAAATGGGTGGTGGTTCTAGGCATTTATGGCACATACAGATTATATAAATCCTTCAAGATTTGCAAGTAGTTTGGTCTTGTTTTCAACTTATCAAAATTTCCAAATCGCCATGATATGTTTGGTTGATTTACCGTGATCGATTTCAGATTTATCTCACCGCATCAGTATTCGTAGAGCACTAAATGTGTAGAAACAAGAAGGTCCAAAGTTTGGCAGTAGTATAGTGGTTGCAATCAGTTTATATGCATCTCGCTATATTTTTTTTGAAAAATTCTCTGTGGATTTTCATATTGTTGCTTTAAGACAATAGATTCTGTACTAAGCTGTCCTCACGGGTCTAATAAACTGAATTTCCATCATAATCGATCTAATTATTGAGGTTTCATAATTTTTACTGTACATTTGAATTTCAAGGTGAATCATGCCTTGCATTTTCCACCTTTTGATATATCATTTGCTGATAAGTGTGATTATACATGTTATACCTAGTAGTACACTTTTAGATTCTGTATTTCCTGTTCAGTTTGGGTCTGCTGCTTTTGCTAACTTATTGGTTGTGATTTGGAATTTGTTTCTATCTTTAATACAAAGATCTGCAGCCTTTCTACTGTTCTACATGTGTTTCAAAAAGGAATGGTTGTGCAGTTTATAAAGTTGAAAGGCTACTATGTGAAGTTGTTATTGTACTGGTTCTCTATTAATGGGAACAGCAACATTTCAAGCCTTCACATATAACTGTTGGATCATTTGATCAATATCATCACTCATCACTAGCAGTATTTTTTACTGTGTTTGGTTCTCTTACGTTTTCTGTAATTCGAGTATCAACAACCGTTGCAATTTTGTACTGTAGAGAGCTCGCTACCTTATTCCTCCAACAAAATATATGCGACATCCTAATCTTTCGACTTATAGACAGGAAGTGCTACTGCATTATTACGAAACTAAATGAATTTATTGTTTCTTTAATCGCTTTGATTGCCAATTTGGAGTTCAGTGCACTGAAAGGATATCCTCCTTTTGTATTGCATGTTAGACCCTAAGCCTAATGCTGGAAATGGTCTGGACTTGGAGAAATATTCCTGGACTCAGGAAAGGCCAGAGGTTACCATAACCATTCCAGTTCCCCAAGGAACAAAATCAAGTCTTGTCACTTATGAGATTATGAAGAACCATCTGAAGGTTGGACTGAAGGGTTGCTCTTTTATAATTGATGTAAGTGGATATACAGAATGTTTTATATAGTCTGCTGCTAGATTAAATACACAACAAGAATATCTCTCATTTGCAATAGAAGTATAGAACTGCTGGTATAATGTTCTACTTGTGTTTCTTTTCAGGGGGAGCTTTTTGAGCCAGTTAAAGTTAATGACTGCTTGTGGACCATTGGTACATACATAGTTTGATGATACTTGTTACATTTCTCATCGATAGCAATACCTACATGACTCTTGTTACTGACTTGACATGCATTATTTTGTGATAATTCCTTCAGAGGATGGGAATACACTGTCTATACTTTTGACAAAGGAAAACCAGAAGGAATGGTGGACATCAGTGATAAAAGGTGACCCTGAACTTGACCCCCGCGACATGAAAGTACCTGAACTCCGTGATTGTGATGTTGAGGCCAAAGAGACTATTGTGAGGATACTAAGTCATGGATTGCCCAAGGCAATGAATTTCTGCCCCTTCATGCACAATCGATTCAGTTACCACTGATCAAGTTTACTAATTTGTCTTCACATTTCTGATTGATTCATCAGAGAGCTATGGATCCTGCAACAAGTGATGATATCCAGCAAGAGGAACTTCTGAAGAATGCCCAGGCGAGTTTCAGGCTTTCTGCTACCTTTCCTCCCTTTTTCTTTAACCTCTCATTTTCTGAATCCTGTAGTTCTGTTTGTACTTTGCCACCGTTTGTTTGTTGGTGCTTCAATGTATCTGATGCAGCTATTTCTTGCAGTACTCGCATATGGATTCCTAAGGCAAAAATTGAGGATGTTGAACCCAAGAAGTGTACATACATCATCCTTTGACAGAGAATAGAAGTTCAGACACAGAACAGAAGGTCACATCATCTTTTTTGTACCGGGTTAGGAAGCTCAAATACTGAAGACTTCTCTGCTAGTACGATTTAGCTCTATGGTAACTAGTAATCCTCGAATCATAGCCTGGTAGTCACACAATGTTAGTCTATAAACATGAAGCTGCACCTATTCAGAAACCTTCCTCTTAAACACCTTATCCTGTATCTACTCAGCAGTAACATGGTCGAGATTTTGTGCTCTAAGCTCTGGTGGTTGTGCAAATGGATATCGGCATCTACAAAGCAAATGCAGTTCCTCTCTCTTTGGTTTTTGCTCTTGTTTCTGGGGAATCTTTTATCCTGTATTCTGCAGTACGTTGTAGTACTATAGTAGTAGTAGGCTACGAGTAGTTCTTATTTGTACTGAATGCGGCCGGAATTGGTATGCTGGCCTGCGAGCCCTGAGGGCAGCCTATCTGGGCGGATTGTTGGTGGCGGGTGACAGGGGGACTAACATCAGCAGCGCCAAGGTGGGCAAAGATTCTGAGCCGCGACTACGACCATCCAGCAGTTGGCGGCTGCTGCTCGCCTACTCTCTGATGAGATGCGACGCTGTACTAGGATGCTGCCGCCTCCATCAACATCAGGAACCCAATCAACTTTCTCGTACGCGCACTGCCCCGGTTTCTCTTTCTCCTCCCCATAGCCAAACAGTGGCGAGCGAAACGGACGCGCACAGGCGGAGGAGGCACAGCCGCAGCACTACGTAGGAACAGTGATGCAGCTGATGATATCATGATACAGCTATTCTGCAAGGGACATCGGCAGCATGGCCGGGCGATTGAACGTTGCCATGGACTGATGAACCGCCGTAAGTTGATCTGTTGATGCCTTTGCATAGTTGCTTGGATGGGAATGAGGAATGGGCACAACAGGGAGGCATGGCGACCACGACAACGGGTCCTGCCTAATCTTTGGAAGCCCTATCAGATTATCAATGCGGCCATCACTACACGATCTTGGAGTTGCTGGGCTTCCCACATGCACGGGCTATAATTAATCGATATTCTAAAAAAAACCATCACATTTGTATACACCGTACACTGTACAACAGCAAGTAAAAACGGCTGACTATGTAGCCATTTCCTAGTATGGCCTTAGCATATTCTCCAGGTCCAGGGCCTTGAAGAGCTCCGCGACAGAGAAACCTTTATTCCATTTTACATTGAAACTCAGCGTAAGAAACAGTGTCAAATCCTCTGATTTACAGCCTCTGTTTACGCTGGTAAAAGATACGCCTATCTAGTAGTACAGTAAATTACAAAGCTACTGTGTATAATTAACTCTGTGGTGGGTGCTATCAAGAGCAAACATTTGCACAACTAGTCTCTTCTAATAAGATGGAGAGCCTGCAGAATGCAGGGTTTTTTTTACCTTCTGTTGTTACACACATTGCCTACATACAGGGCAAGACCCATGGCCAACGAGCCATTTGTCCACGCAAGGCTGGTGGAAAGTGTGGGAGCAATTCGGCAATCTCCTCGCCGTTTCACCGGTTACAATATCCTGCAAAGCGGTAATTAAGCAGTGACATTGAGTGTGTGTAGGGAGTGAGCAAGTTGCAAAGCAAATCCTAACCACATTGCATTTAGTAGCAGGCATAATTTGGTATGCAAGTTGCCACAAAAGGGGAACATAAAAACGGAGGTCGTTGCATCTCCCTGCTCTACATATCACACCATAACAATCATGTCATATCTACTATCCAGCTATATATATGTACTTGAATGTTTCATTTATCAATCTAAAAAATGGGCCGCATTTCCTGGTTCAACAAGGTCGGGAAAAGCTTTGGTTTCTGGTTGGAAATCATTGATCAAGTAATAGACCGTATTCAATGGTCAGGACGAGTTAGGTTTAAAACGTTCTATGAAGAAGGTCAAAAGAATTTCATGAATAATTTGAAGATGTCTTCCCATTTACCCCCTTGGCAATTATGTTTAGAACAGTTACTACTATATGTGATCAGCCATCACTAACAACCAGATGGAGACTTGTAGTGGTATGCTATCACCAATTTTCAAATCACTGGTGATCTTGATTTTCTTAACAAACTTTGCCAAAAAGGAGAAAGCTCAAATATGCTAACTAAACATTCACTATATTGTCTGCAATCATGAAATGGATGTTGTTTTGCTTTTATTATCGTTGTTGAACCTAAACCATGTGCAAAATTGTGCAAGGCAGCCAGGCAGGTTTGTCGACAACATAAAGCTAATTTTGATAAATGTACCTGCAGGCAGATAGTGCAAGAGAGGTCTTCACCAAACGAGTTCCGTGTTTGGTCAGTGACCACATAGTGTGGTAATTTATTCAGTGACTCCCGTGAAAGCCCTTTGGATGAACAATCTCCAAAAATATCATACAGATCATCATGACCAAAATCTGAAATGCTGACCTGTTGACAAAGAACATAAAAAAAATCAGTAAAAGAAAATGCTTCAATAAATAACGATGTGTTCCAATAAACGGTGATTCTGCGAACCGAACATCGTTTCCAAAGTACCCGGGCCTACTAGCCAATAAATTTGTACCGTTGTCTCAACTAAATAAAGTGGTTTAAAACTACCAATTTTGCAAATAGAATAATGAAATGATGGCCAGCAGATCAGGTTTTTCACATAAAAAAACATTTTATAAAATGAGAACCATGGCAAACAAAATTGCATCAGCAGAACATGTAACTGACCTGCCAACGATGCGTTGCATATCCTGAAGGTACAATTTGCTCTTGCACAAACCGCGCTTGGAGGAGCTGCTCTATGAAATCTGCCTGAACACCAAATCGTTATGAATTTTTCTTAGAGGCGTATCTTACAAACACAGACGAGAGATACATTTCAAAATCATGGTGTCAAGCCGTCGAGGAGTAAAGTAAACGGCACAGCATATTGGAAGAAGTTACATCAGGCTAATGAGCATATATCTTTCAGAGAAATAAATTCGTCAAATACTTCAGGTCACATCATCTGAAGTCAAACGCATTAATATAACTTCTTGGACAAACAAATATGCAAGTATGGAAGAAGCTTACTGACCATGGAGGATGTGCCATGAGAGCCCAGCCGGTCCGAGCACCAATAAGCACGAGAAGCCTCGAGGACCTCAATGGAGAGCACAGCTCCGGCGAACGCCCCCAATCCAGCTCCCCGGAGCACGCCGCTGTCTGAAGCCCTTCCGGCCAGCGCGCCGGTCACCGCTCCGGTCAAGGCCCCAGCTTTTACAAAGCACCACATCAAACAACGGACATAAAAAAAAATCGGAACACGTACGCGACGCGAGGCCAGCAAAGAACGAGCTCTCACGGGCAATGCTCGCTGTCGCTGGCGTCAAAGAATCACATGAACAGCTCGAGCAAGGGGGGAAAGAAGGGGCGGGTGTTTTGGTGAGTACCGAGAGCGAAGAGGCCGGTGAGAGCGCCGGAGATGACGCCGGCGAGAAGCCTGGGGAGGTACACCGCCACGCCGCTCTCCTCCAGCGCGTCCTCCGCGGCCGCGACCTCCATCGAAGGCAGGCGCCCCCCCGGGAAGCGCGCGCCGCGCGGTTTCTTGGTATGCCGCGTGCGTCGCGCGGGTTGGCGTGGGGAGGCGGTGATGAGAGAGAGAGAGAGAGAGAGAGAGAGAGAGAGAGAGAGAGAGAGAGAGAGGAGGCCGAGGCGAGAGGAGAGGAGAGGGAGAGGCTCTCCGGGAGCAGAGGAAGGTGAAGACGTGAAGTGAAGCTCTCTCCAAGCTTTGCTTTTCTTTTCGCTGTTGTTTCGCAGGCGACTCGTGATGATGAGACGATTTATTTGCTTTGCTCTTTCCCTTTTTCTTTTTTCCTTTTCTTTGTAGACAAGAGAATTATTTGCATTTCTTTAGTTTTCTCATACGGTTGTAGCTTTCAAGGTTGGCTCGGGGCCCTTTTTTTTGTTTTGTTTTATTCTTTCAGAAATTTTCGCGCATGCTCCAAATAAAAGGCACAGGATTATGCCACATAGTTGTCGCTTAAATTTACGTGCAATAACCTTTTTTTTTTGTGAGAAAATATCCTCTCTTGCGATAGTTGCGAGAAGAGTCTAGAAAGAAGAATTTCAATAAATATTTTGGTTGCAACTAAGAAGCCAGCGAGTATATATAATTATGCGTATCTCTACTCTGCAGTTCGGAGTGCAATAACAAAATGCTAGGGCCGGCCGAATACATTTCATTGTTGGATATTAACACATTTAAACAGAACTTTAGTTGCTAGTTTTTATTGTAACATATTTATAAAACCAATACGGGCATAATGCCATCACAAAGTACTTCTTTAAGACATACTATTCACAAATTATTTTCATGCGTCCAACTTAAATATTGAAAAATATATAGGTCATGGTGTAAAGATAGTTACTAGCTCCTATTAGGTTTTCAAATTGTAGGTCAATGGTAAATTTATGTTTTAATATTTTATAAAGAGAAATTTGTTGTATTTAATATATTTTTAATGTAAAACTTGATATTTTCTCTCACAGTTTGTCTAAAGGACTTACCGTCACTCTTGATTAATCAATGCCTAAGAGATGGTTTTTGGCCATCAAACACAAGAAGATATTTGTTAAGCATGTCCTCATCCAAATAGCTTGTGAGTTGGAGGTACTCCAAGGTCCTTGTCGAAAGCTATTTTCCTTAAAAGAAAAATTGACTGATGCTTTTTTTAAGGGTACAAGGGAAACGTACACAGCACCATTACTATAATATCGAAGTATTGATTAAAATATGTTTGGTTTCTAGCCTATCAAAATACGGCACTGAAAATATGTCTATATTATCAAATTTTGATAAAATTAGAAGCACCAACAATATGATCTCATAATAAAATCTAGGGCCACTAGAGAAAATACCTTGCACTCAGCGAATAAAGCCTGTGCGGGTCGCCGCACAGTGGCAGTGCTAACTGGCCACTTCGATCTCAGCTTGACTGAAACTCCCCCCGAATACAGAAATGTATGGGTACGCCATCGACTCAATGCAATAGAGTGATACTCGGGGAGTAGTATTAAGAAATGCTTCATCGTGGTTATATGTGTGCTAAGAGAAAACCCAACGAAATGAGTGCTTGGAGCATACAACCAACCAATCATGTCTGTTAGGTAATGTCTAGTGTAGATGAAACTAAGATTATCACATCATACCATGCCACATATGGTTTATAATATCTTCTCTCTCTCCTTAGGCTACATTAGGCGTGATCTCATAATAAAATCTAGGGCCACTAGAGAAAATACCTTGCACTCAGCGAATAAAGCCTGTGCGGGTCGCCGCACAGTGGCAGTGCTAACTGGCCACTTCGATCTCAGCTTGACTGAAACTCCCCCCAAATACAGAAATGTATGGGTACGCCATCGACTCAATGCAATAGAGTGATACTCGGGGAGTAGTATTAAGAAATGCTTCATCGTGGTTATATGTGTGCTAAGAGAAAACCCAACGAAATGAGTGCTTGGAGCATACAACCAACCAATCATGTCTGTTAGGTAATGTCTAGTGTAGATGAAACTAAGATTATCACATCATACCATGCCACATATGGTTTATAATATCTTCTCTCTCCTTAGGCTACATTAGGCAGTGCTCCCTCCGTCCTATAATATAAGAGATTTTAGGTGGATGTGATCTAATTGGGAGAAATACTCGCTCCTTCTTCACGCACACGCTTCCCAAACTGCTAAACCGCGTATTTCTTATAAACACATTTTATAGAAAAGTTTGCTTTAAAAATTATATTAACTCTCAATTAATCATGTCATAATGGATCATCTCATTTTGAGTATTTTCTCAATCTTCTCTTTTTCTCTTCTCTCAAACACATATGCGTAGCAGTGTTCAGTGGACCCACATATAAATAAAAAAGACTCGACAATGGTGTACATTTGTTCTAATAAAAGACTCTAAGTGATGACATCATACATATGTAAGCACGATACCTTAGATACCAAACCTGGTATAAGTAATACCGGACACATACCCATTGATACCAAACTGTAGTAGCAAGCTACCACATCTAGTATTGGGTATTAGATGTGATACCTGTATATGCCAAAGTCTGATACCTAGTTACCATGTTTGATGTCACACACGCACAAACTATTGCATTGAAACGGTATTACTGTTTTGTAGTATTTTTATATAAAAAGCACTACCTTTGGTTTTAAATATCTGTTATGCTATGTTTAGGAGTTCAAGTTTCCAACTCTTCTCCCTCGTTTTTCACACATACTCTTTCCAAGTTAAACGACATGTTTTTTTTAAAAAAAATTCTACATGAAAGTTGCTTTTAAAAATCATATTAATCCATTTATTAGAAAAGATATAGCTAATACTTAATTAATCATGCATTAATAAATTGCTTTGTTTTACGTACGCCATATTAATTCCCAACTCAAACTACCGAACACAACCTTACTCTTGAAGCGCACAATTTTAACTTTCACCATTGCAAAATTTAAATGTTTAAATAATGATGTTTGAAAGTTTCGTGGTTACATTTAAGATGCAATATACTTAGTATGGCATATTTCTTTTATATATATATATATATTATATTTATATATATAAATATATATATAAGAAATCATAGTTTAAAAATAAAAAGTATATAATGATAAGTATTTGAAAACGGGAGTAATTGAAGTTACGCGTAGCGAATTTGGCAAAGTTAGAAAATAAAGAAAAATCCATGGAGCCTATGCATCAGCGCTAACATTTTCTTTATCTAGCATCTACCTCTTCTATTGTGTAGAATCGGTGTTGATGTTAAGAGTTTCTCAAATGTATCCATGAAACTAGAGATTATGCATCATTTTTTCAGATTCGTAGTATTAAAATGTCTCAACTTTAATTCTAATTCTAGATTACTATATTTTAATATTGTAGTAACAACTCACTATGTAAATTAGAGAAGCAAAAACATATATATTCTATTAGTTAGTATATCATTATCTAAAAATATATATTAGTTAGTATATGGTATTCATTGCTGTTATTTTACTTCAAAGTGATATTTGACGAATAAGAGTACACATTAATCTGGCTGCGGCTATCACCTATCAGTAAGTCTTCAAAGAGTGCTATCCTGTAATCAATGTCGGATGTAAGGCTGAATCCAACGTGTGCTGCACATACTTCGCTCCATCCATGCGGGCGCATTGAGTTTTCTTGAAAGATACACTGCCCCCTATTCACTTCCCAGGACGGAGACGGTACGCCGGTCCAGCCCAATCTTCTTCTTCAAGCACGCCACGCCCAGCATGCTCGAAAGCTCGATCGATCCAGCCAACTAATCGGGGCCATCCGGCGATGACCACTCGGCCTACCGGCACGCGCGCGTACGCGTGCCGCAGCGCTTCGCCGGACAGAGAGCGGCCCCGGCCGGCGAAACGAGCTAGCGGCTGGTTCCCTGACGCCACGGCGACGTTTATATCAACCCAAACACGTAGTCGGCATGTGATAACATCCTTCCACTTCAACAACTTTCTATCGAAGTTGAAACTTTATAAGCATGTACATATTCCTCTCTCTTAAGTAAATTTGGTCCGGCTATCATAGATCGGCCCGGCTAAAGAAAACACATCGTCCGACCACGCCTGTGACAACATCCTTTCACTTCGACAACTTCTTATCGAAGTTGAAACTTTATAAACATGTACATATCCCTCTCTTAAGTAAATTTGGTCCGGCTATCTCAGACCGGTCCGGCTAAAAAAAAAAACACGTCGTCCGGCCAAGGATCATGCACGCCGGCATCAGCGTCGTTTTTCGAACCAACGTGACCTGCAGTAGGCTGGTACTTGGTAGAATGTCACTAGCTCGATCAGCGACAAGTCTGTCGAACCATGCTTCTTCACGCCCAATAATGCTCGCTGGCTTTACGTATCGTCACAGACTCACAGTGAGAGTTAAAAGCAAACCGTTTCTGACGCAACATCCTCTTCGCCTCGCACTATTGCAGAAATGCAGAGCACGCCAGTGGCATGCACGGTTGCTTGGCTCTTCTTCTTATTTCCATTTTTTTTGCTCAGACGTCATGGTGCACGTGAGAGAAGGCGAGCATGGGCAGCCTCAAATGCGATCTGGTTAGTGCTAGGTGTGAGTGAGTTGTGGTGACGTGGTGCGATATCATTAGGAGGATCAAACCACCTGTCAATTCGGCTACTAGCTGTTTTCCTGTTCATGTATCTGTGAGCTTGTTGCTACCAGCAACCAGGTTGATCAGATCGATTGAACACTAATTTTGGGGAGAATATTAATGATGCTTACCTGCCGCATCAAAGATTGTCATATACCCATTCGTCCTTTAATATAAGAAATTTTAACATTTTACTTACATTGTTTGACCACTCGTCTTATTAAAAAAAATTGTGCAAATATAAAAAACGAAAAATTTACACACATTTGAAGTATTAAAGTAGTCTAATAATAAAACAAATTACATAATCCACCTGTAAACTACGAGACGAATTTATTAAGGCTAATTAATCCGTCATTAGCAAATGTTTACTGTAGGCTGTAGCACCACATTGTCAAATCATGATACAATTAGGCTTAAAAGATTCGCCTCGCAAGTTACACGTAATCTGTGTAATTAGTTATTTTTTTCGTTTATATTAATACTCTATGCATGTGTCCAAGCATTCGATGTGATATGGTGTAAAATTTTACCAGGGGATCTAAATAGACCCTAAGCATATTGGATGAACATTGCATAGTTTTTAGAGAAAAGGCATCATTTCCTCAAAGAGCATTGAATAGTTGCACATACAAAGGCATAAAAGAAGTCGAATACATTTTATTCAAAAGGATCACAAGCATACCATTGGAAGCTGATCAGTAATCAGATAGCAGCAAATTAAGAACACAGCAAGGCAAAAGTTCGATTATTTTCATTCGCCAAAAACAATAATAACTTGCTCATTTAGCAGAGATATATATAGCATGGTGTGCGAGCCAGTAATAGCGTCCTCACAGCCTGCTTAACTGACTCGTGCTCGTCCGATCAATCGTCGTAATCGTGGCGGCGGCGGTTGTTCTTCTCGTAGCGCTGCTTCCTCTCGCCGTCGGAGTCGTCGTCGTCGTCGTCGCGCTTCTTGTAACGCGGCTTCCTCTCGCCGTCGTCGTCGTCGTCGTGCTTCTTGTATCGCGGCTTCCTCTCGTCGCCGGAGCCATCGTCGTCGTCACCTCCCTAAATGAAGAACAGAGGCAAAGTTAAGGAGGCCTGGAAGGCCGGAGTACACAAGAACCCATATAAGGCCCGTGAAGCTAACGGGCCGGGCCCGTGGAATGAGCTCACATGCTTCTTGCGGCCGCCGCCGGAGGTGTGCCGCCGCTGCTGCTCGTCGTCCCCGTACGCCGGCTTGGGCTTCCTGTACCCGCCGCCGTGCGTCGCCTCGTCGTCGTCCGGCCTCCTGCCGTGGCCAGCCGAGAGGTGGGTCTCCTCGGCAGGTGGCCTCCGGCCTTGCTGGGGGCGGTCGTACGAGGAGGAGGAGGAGGAGGCGGTGGAGATGGGGTGGCATATCTCGTCGGAGGGCGGGAGGGCGCGGCCGAAGGTGAGGGCGATGTCGTAGCCGCCGCCGTACGGGGTGGGGTCGTACTCGTCGAAGTCGGCAACCTCGTCGGCGGGATGGCCGCTTCCCCAGAACACGCTCGCCATATCGGTGGCTGGCTGGCTGGCTCGATTCGATCGATCACGGTGTACGTTGGCGGGAAGGCACGGAGGGCGGGAAGAGATAGATAGGCGCGGCAATGGGCCGCGGCGCGCTTGGTTCGGGGAGTTTTCGTGGCTGGGAACTGGTCAGGTCGCGCGACCGGCGGCCGGGCATCCATTGCGTTGCGTTTTCGGTAACGAGGGCCGCAGTAGACGGTAACATGGAGCCGAACAAACCGCGCGATTGAGTGTTTTTTTTTAACTGGAATTTGAGTGCTTTTAGATGAACTTGAAATAGAAATTTCACAGCAAACTTTTTTTTGAACAAGGAGAGCCAAGGTCCCCGCCTATCTATCTATTATATATTATTAAAGGAATAGAAAAAGGAGGCTCCACGTTCGCTCTCATGACCTAGAAATTCTCACAATAATCAGAGAAAAAGAAAAAGCAAACTCCATACAAAAATACAATTTAGGAACAGCTAAAATTCTCACATTAATGGGAGAAAAAGAAAAAACAGAGTCCATATAGAAATAAAATTTAGAAATAGCTGAAATTCAGAATTAAAAAATAATGAATATTAGAAGAGGAGACTAGAGTCCATATAGAAACACAATTTAGAATTAATTGAAATTCGGAATTAAAAAATAAGGAATATTAGAAGAGGGGACTAGAGTCCATATAGAAATACAATTAAGAAATAACTAAAATTTGGAATTAAAAATAAGGAATATTAGAAGTAGAGTATAAAGTCCATATAGAAATACAATTAGGAAATAATAGAAATTCAGAATTATAAATAAGGAATATTAGAAGTAGAGCATAGAGTCCATATAGAAATACAATTAAGCAAAAAAAATAGAAATTCAGAATTAAAAAATAAGGAATATGGGAAGTGGAGTATAGAGCCCATATAGGAATTTAAAATTAACTAAAATTCGGAATAAAAAGGAGCCTCCACGTCCACTCTCATGACTTAGAAATTCTCACATTAATCGGAGAAAAAGAAAAAGCAGACTCCATATAGAAATACAATTTAGAAATAGCTAAAATTCGAAATTAAAAATAAGAAATATTAGAAGAGGAGACTAGAGTCCATATAAAAATACAATTAGAAAATAACTGAAATTCGAAATTAAAAATAAGGAATATCAGAAGTAGAGTATAGAGTCCATATAGAAATACAATTAGGAAATAATAGAAATTCGGAATTAAAAATAAGAAATATTAGAAGTAGAGTATAAAGTCCATATAAAATTCAATTAAGAAAAAAAAAATTGAAATTCAGAATTAAAAAATAAGGAATATTATAAGTAGAATATAGAGTCCATGTAGGAATTTAAAACTAACTAAAATTCGGAATAAACATAATAAAATTAAAAGTAGAGTTTACAGTCCGTATAAAAATACAATTTACAAATAACTACATTTCGAAATTAAGAAAAATATGGGAAGAAGAGTTTAAAGTCAATATAGGAGTACAATTTAGAAGTAATTGAAATTTGAAGTTAAAAATTAAAGAATATTGAAATATGAGTTTATATAGAAATACAATTTAGAAATAGCTGAAATTCGGAATTAAAAATAAGGAGTATTAGAAGATGAGACTAGAGTCCACATAGAAATACAATTTAGAAATAGTTGAAATTCGAAATTAAAAAATAAGAAATATTAGAAGAGGAGACTAGAGTCCATATAGACATACAATTAGGAAATAACTGAAATTTGAAATTAAAAATAAGGAATATTAGAGTAGAGTACAGAGTCCATATAGAAATACAATTAGGAAATAATAGAAATTCGGAATTAAAAATAAGGAATATTAGAAGTAGAGTATAGAGTCCATATAGAAATACAATTAAGAAAAAAATAGAAATTCGGAATTAAAAAATAAGGAATATCATAAGTAAAGTATAGAGTCCATATAGGAATTTAAAACTAACTAAAATTCGAAATAAACATAATAAAATGAAAAGTAGTGTTTAGAGTCCATATAAAAATACATTTTACAAATAATTAAAATTCGAAATTAAGAAAAACATGGGAAGAAGAGTTGAAAGTCAATATAGGAATAAAATTTAGAAGCAACTGTAATTTGAAATTAAAAATTAAAGAATATTGAAAGATGAGTTTAAAGTCCACATAGAAATACAATTAGAAATAATAAAAATTCAGAATTAAAAAAATATTAAAAGACGAGTCTAGAGTCCATATAGGAATATATATAATTTACAAATAACCAAAATTTGATATTAAAAATAATTAATAACTAACACGTATATAAAATACAATATGAATATTACACATTAGTAGTTTCGTAAAGTTATTGCAAAATTTAAAATTATGTTGTCATTGTAATATATTTTATAATATAATGAGAAAACATATATTTTATTATATGAGAGAAAATATAATGATACTAGCCGTGCAATCTGCGCGGGCCACCATGATAGTTAATTTATTAAAGAAATAGAAAAAGGAGCCTCCATGTTCGCTCTCACAGCCTAGAAATTTCCACATTAATCAGAGAAAAAGAAAAACATAGTCCATATAGAAATACAATTTAGAAATAGTTGAAATTCGGAATTAAAAAAATAAGGAATATTGAAAAAGAAGACTAGAGTCCATATAGAAATATAATTGAGAAACAATAGAAAATCGGAATTAAAAATAAGGAATATTACAAGTAGAGTATAGAGTACATATAGAAATAGAATTAAGAAATAATAGAAATTTGGAATTAAAAGTAAGAAATATTAGAAGTAGAGTATAGAGTCCATTTAGAAATGCAATTAAGAAATAATAGAAATTCGGAATTAAAAATAAGGAATATTAGAAGTAGAGTATATAGTCCATATAGAAATACAATTAAGAAGTAATAGACATTCAGAATTAAAAATAAGAAATATTAGAAGTAGAGTATAGAGTCCATATAAGAATTTAAAACTAATTAAAATTCGGAATAATAATAAAATTAAAATTAGATTTTAGAGTTCGTATAAAAATACAATTTACAAATAACTAAAATTCAAAATTAAAAAAAACATGGGAAGAGGAGTTTAAAGTCAATATAAGAATACAATTTAGAAGTAACTTAAATTCGAAATTAAAAATTAATGAATATTGAAAGATGAGTTTAGAGTCCACATAGAAATACAATTAGAAATAATAAAAATTCAGAATTAAAAATAAATAATATTGGAAGAAGATCCTAAAGTCCATATAGGAATATAATTTATAAATAAAAAAATTTAAAAATAATTAATAACTAACACGTATATAAAAAACAATATGAATATTATACATTAGTAGTTTTGTAAAGGTAGTAAAAAATTTAAAATAATGTTGTCATTTTAATATATTTGAATAATACATTGAGAAAACATATATATTATTATATGACAGAAAATATAATGATGCTAGCCGCGCAATCTGCGCGGGCCACCACGCTAGTTTCCATTAACAAAAATGAGATTTACAGTATAAAAGTATCATACTCCCTCCCTCCCAAATATCTAGTCGTACAAATGATTTTAGGATGGATGAGTAAAAGATTATGCTATTTCAGGCTGTCCCAAATATCTAGTCGTACAAATTATTTTGGGATGAATGGAGTAGAAAATTATGCTATTTCAGGTTGTAAGGCTAGGGGGACAACAATTTTAAGCAACAAAGGATAGCTACAACCTCATCACCCCACGTCATTTAACCATACTCCCTTTGTCCCATAAAAACCAATTTAGTACCGGATGCTAGTATTATGAATCTGGACATACATACTCTCTCCGTCCACCCAACCTAGGAGGGGTTATAGCGTCTATTTGTCCAGATTCGTTGTACTAGGTTGGGTTTTTTTTTAACGGAGAAAGTATGTTTATATTTGTAAATCTATAATATGACACATCTGATATTAGATTAATTTTTATGACACGGAGAGAGTACAACTGAAAAGGTTTTATTCAAAAAGACTCAGGGATCAGCATCTCTCCCTAGGGCACAAAAATCAACACATTCAATCCCCCTCAGCAGCCTTCATTAACCTTGCAGGCTTCTTGGCATGACCTTCTTCTGCAAGATGGCTCATTGGGAAATAATTGAGATATAGTGAACAACCTGAAAAATAACTTCCATGGGATCTTTAGGTAACTTGTTCTCAAAACATGATTTGTTTCTTAAGCCCTGTTTAGTTCACGAAAAGAAAATTTTTTAGTGTCACATCGGACGTTTGACCGGATGTCGAAAGGTGTTTTTGGACACGAATGAAAAAACTAATTTCATAACTCGTCTGGAAACCGCGAGACGAATTTATTAAGCATAATTAATCCGTTATTAGTACATGTGGGTTAATGTAGTACTTATGGTTAATCATGAACTAATTAGGCTCAAAAGATTTGTCTCGTGATTTCCACGCAAACTGTGCGATTAGTTTTTTTTTATCTATATTTAATACTACATACATGTGTCTAAAGATTCGATGTGATGTTTTTGGAAAAAAAATTGGGAATTAAACAAGGCCTTAGCTTCCAAATCTCCCAAAGAAATGCTGCATCCCCTACTGCCACAAGTTTTTTGGTCCTCTTATTAAACCCCTTCAACCAGTCCCCATTCCATTTGTTATCCCACAAGCAAATGCACAACTGAGAACACTCCAAACACACCTGGCCAAATAGCAATGTAAAAACAGATGGTCTTGTAGGATAACAATTGATATAATAAGATTTGCTCAATCTTTAAAACTTTCTGAAAATGCTGGCCATCAGCACAGCAGGGAAGGGAGCACTGAGCACGATTGAACAACCGTTTTCTCCTTTTTCATTTTCTTGATGGACAGCAAATCATTTTTTTTTCTTTTTCTTGCCATATTACACAAATACCACCATTTGGTGGAGAACACGAGATAAAGGAAAAGAGAGATGGTATGAAAAAAGCATGTGTAACTTCCGCCCGCCATGTGATTTCCTGAGACTGGTGTTTTTGGGGAAGAACTGTGCTAAACATTTGATTCGCGTTTGCACAGTTTCTTGCCGCTGTTCAATTTTCCTCCATCGTGGACGGGTTTGGCAGCGCTGGTCTTCACAGATGGATACCCAGCACACTAACATCATCACGCTTTCCAATCTCGAACACACAATTGGTGTTACTATACAAAAAACAAAAAAAA